TTCAAACCGCAGTAGAAACGCTCTCCTTAGTCTTGTTTTGCTGAATAGCCTCGAGGATATCTCCAGCGCCGTCAGCCACCAGGGCCTTGGCGACAGTGATGCCGAAGGCCTCAGCACTTTCAGCAGAGTTGACATCGGCATCCAATTCTACCTGGGCGCATTCTTTGCCATCGACACTGACAACAACAGACCGCATTCGTAGCTGTTTAGAACCCTGTGCATTTTGGATCCATTCGGTTTCGACGCCCAGCGGGGCACTGCAGCCTCCCTCCAGAGTCCGCAGAAGACTTCGCTCAGCCAAGACCGAGAATGTGGTGTCCTGATGACCAATAATATCCAACATGGCCTGCAGATCAGTGTCCTCCTTGCGAATTTCGATGCCGAGGGCACCCTGTCCAACAGCATAGAGCATGCCACTGTTCTTGGAGTCCAAATATTGGGCGATACGATCCGCCAAATCCAGACGCAGCAGACCAGCAGCGGCCAGAATGACACAGGTGTAAGGGCTATCTTCAGCATCTAGCTTTGACAGGCGAGTACCGATGTTACCACGGACATCCTGGACCTTAAGGTGGGGGTATTTCCGGGCCAATTGGGCTGTGCGGCGGATGGATGAGGTTCCAACTACGGATCCTGCGGGGATCTCGGAGAGACTCTTGTATGGCAAACCTTGTTTCACCACAAGGACATCTCTGCTATCTTCGCGGGGCATGCTCGGGCCTAGCTTGCAGGAAGAGGGGAGAGTAGTGGGGACATCTGATAATTTCAAACAAGGCGTCAGCATTTCTACCGTTGGAACAGCAACGCCGTTTGATATTAAGACATAAACAAACCTTTCAGCGAGTGCACGATAATATCGACTTGTCCACCGATCATCAATTCCTCCAATTCCTCCGTCCATAGGTTTTTGGTGGTGAAGTCCCGCAGTGCGATGGTAGTATTCAGATCACCGGCTGTTTCCTTGGAGAAAACCTTATATTCGTATTCAGGGAATGCTTTCTTCAATGCGTCGAGGACCATGTGTGTCTGGAGCAGAGCCAGTTTTGATTTCCGGGTGCCGATAGTGATGGTCTTTCTGGGGGCGGGGGTAGCCATTTTGAGGGGTAAATAAGGCGTATGTTGAATAATACACGATTCAATATTGGAAATAACGCGAGTTGACGTGTACGTTGTATGAAGCTATGCCCGCAGGATTCCAAACAGCCGAGGAAAGTCAGGCGAAGAGGCAAAAGTGGATTTGGAGAGCTCCGATCACGGGACACGTGCAGACCCGGTAATTCCAAGTCCTAGAGGTACCTACAGCATTTAAATATAAAGAACAGTCTAGGAAATGGAAAAATCAATGGGTAATAGTAAACTCATAGTAAAACGTAGATCTATAAAATTTAATGTAAACTATAGGTAATTAAGCAGGGAAGTCCTCAAATGCTTCCCCATAGATCGTCAACCTCGGCTTCGGGACGTGGAGATTACAAGAACATGCGACTTATCTCCCCCGGACTTCGCTACGTGATTCTGGAACCTCCATCCCCCGAGGTCTTATAATTCATTAACCTTTCCCCTCTCCATATTCTCCGATTCTCACATTCCCCCCATCGTATACCCCCTCATACACTTACACCTTGATCCCTCCCCATCTTTGCCACCCTATTTCATCATCACTAGGGCCCGTACAAGATGGGATCTAACGGTAGAACCACCAAGATTCCTCTCGTACCTCTTGCCAAGGGCTCGGTACTGCTACCCGGCGTGACTCTACGCATTCCAGTCGCCAACCGTCCCGACCTCGCCAATCTTCTTTCGTCACTCGTGGACAGACCTTCGAAGCGAGATGCGAATACTATTACTTTCGGCTGTGTTCCACTCGACTCACCATTCCTAAGCCGAGATGGAAATAAGCTACTTGACGGCGAGGATTCTGACTCAGAGCGAAAGGAGGAATATGACTCGATTGATGCCGGTCAGGCACGAAAAGAGGACCTGTTTCGATACGGAACCATTGGTAAAGTCATCGGAGTTCAGCGCCGTGCCTATGCCGAACCATTTTTGCTTGTCCAAGGCTCGCAAAGATTCTCTATTAAGAAGGTCCTTCGAGAGCGGCCATACTTTGAGGCCGAGATCTTCATTCATGATGAATCCAGTTAGTCTCCGCGAACAAAGTATAAAGATCACGTGGCTAATCATCTTTCCTATGCTTCTAGACTCTGGCCAAGGTGACGCAGAAGTCGCTGAACTATTCCAGCAATTGAGACAGCTCTCTCGGGAGCTTCTTACTCTCCTGCGCCTATCCTCATTGCTGTCGGCAGCTTCATCTCGTCTTTCGCCACTCGTTGCCCGAAAGTTCGAGCTCTATATATCAAAGACAGAATTGACACAAGCGGGCAAGCTGGCAGACTTTATGGCAGATGTATCTGACGCAAGCTTTGAGGAAAAGCTACGTATCCTCGGCTCACTGGATGTTAAGGAACGGTTGGAGAGGGTTGTTGAGATCCTCACCAGACAGGCACAGCATATTAAGAGTAGTGTTAGGGTTACATCGGTTACCGCAACTTCGTTCCCCTCCTCCGGGATGGATATCAGCAAGATTGACCCCCGTGAACGTGAGCTGCTCGCAAAGCGTGCAATTTCAGGTCTCTCCGGCATGGCCCCCCCTGGCGGGCGTGGCAATGAAGAAGAGAAGGAGCCCAATGAAATAGATGAACTACAACAGAAGCTGAACGATGCGCAGCTTAGCCCCGAAGCTCGAAAGGTTGCGGACAAGGAATTGAAACGCCTGCGAAAGATGAACCCTGCCAACGCCGAATACGGTGTTTGCCGGACTTATCTGGAAAACCTAGCAGAAATCCCATGGACCAAGGTGACAGAGGATCAGCTTGGACCAGACACATTGAAGAACGCCAGGAAGCAGCTGGATGAGGACCACTACGGTCTGGATCGAATCAAGAAGCGACTCTTGGAGTATTTGGCTGTGCTGCGCTTAAAGCAGTCCACCAACTCGGATGTTGAACGCCAGATCTCAGGACTGTCCAGGGACTTGGACGCCTCGGCAGTGGGAGATGTCGAGAAGGATATTCCCCTGCTGTCAGAGGCTGACCGGGTTGCGTTGGAGACCCGCCTGGAGATCCTCAAGTCCAAGCGTATGACCGACAAATCCCCTATCTTGCTTCTGGTCGGCCCCCCTGGTACTGGTAAGACCAGTCTAGCTAGGTCTGTTGCCGCCTCGCTTGGTCGGAAATTCCACCGGATCTCCCTTGGTGGTGTCAGAGATGAGGCGGAAATCCGGGGCCACAGACGCACATACGTTGCAGCTATGCCCGGTTTGATTGTGAATGGTTTGAAGAAGGTCGGCGTTGCAAACCCCGTCATTCTGCTCGATGAGATTGATAAGGTCGGCGGCGCCAACTTCCAAGGCGACCCGTCTGCCGCCATGCTGGAGGTCCTTGATCCCGAGCAGAATCACACCTTCACTGACCACTACATCAATATCCCTATCGATCTGAGCAAGGTTCTTTTCCTTGCTACTGCCAACTCCCTTGAAACGATCCCGGCACCTCTGCTTGACCGCATGGAGACAATCTCCCTGTCTGGATACACCACTGTTGAGAAAAGGCACATTGCCAAGCAACACCTGATCCCGAAGCAGATTAGATCTAACGGTCTCACCGAGGGCCAGGTAAATATGTCCGATGAGGTGATTGATAAGACCATCACCGGGTACACCCGTGAGTCAGGTGTACGCAACTTAGAGCGGGAACTTGGCTCTATATGTCGCCACAAGGCTGTTCAATATGCCGACGCTGGGGACGCCGACCGCCTAAGCGATTATAATCCTGTTGTAACAGCCGATGATTTGGAGGATATCCTGGGAACCGAGCGATTTGAGGAAGAGATCGCCGAGCAACACAGTCGTCCCGGTGTGGTCACGGGCCTTGTCGCCTACTCTACCGGCGGCCAGGGCAGCATCCTGTTCATCGAGGTTGCAGACATGCCCGGAAATGGACGTGTCCAGCTAACCGGTAAGCTGGGCGACGTGCTCAAGGAATCTGTGGAAGTAGCCCTCACATGGGTGAAGGCACACTCCTTCGAGCTCGGTCTCACCCACGATCCCAATGAAGATATTATGAAGAGCCGTAGCCTGCACGTCCACTGCCCCTCCGGCGCTATCCCCAAGGATGGTCCCTCTGCTGGTCTTGCTCACACTGTTGCCTTGATCTCCTTGTTCAGCAACAAGCCTGTCCCACCACAGATCGCCATGACCGGCGAGGTCTCCCTCCGCGGCCGGGTCATGCCTGTGGGTGGTATCAAAGAGAAGCTGATTGGTGCTCTGCGCGCGGGTGTCAAGACTGTGCTGCTGCCGGACCACAACCGCAAAGACGTCAAGGATGTCCCACAGGAAGTCAAGGATGGTCTGGAAATCATCTATGTCAAGTATGCCATCTCTTCCCAGTAATAATTTAGTCAATTGCTAACAACTGTTCACAGGCACATTTGGGAAGGTCTTCGCCAAATCTGGCCCGATGCGCAGTGGCCGAGCCACCACGCGATGAGCTTCGTTGAGAGCCGACTGTAGTTCTCAAGACCTCAAGTTTCAAGGCGCTTTACCCTTTCATTTGTCCAACATTTCGGTCCCCACCCTCACTTTTGCATAGCGTATAATAGGCCGAGGCCCCTGTGACTTGTATTTAATCTTGTCTTTCGTGATGCGTTTTTGCCAGTTATTATTTAGTGTCTATATCACCAAACATACTGTGTTCAGTTCTACTACATTACCTTACAAAATATGTTTCAATGTTACCTTGAAAGATTCATATAAGCGTTGACCAGATCAGAAAAGATGATACGCCATTTTCAAGATGTATACAATCTACCCCAAGAGTATAATACATAGATCCAGTCCAAATAACATGGATCAGAAGATAGAGCAAGAAACACCACTTTTCCCCAATGTCGGGAGAAAAAAAAACCATCAAGAACAATGCAATGAATCCCGTCAAAACCGATTACCGCGCTCCGTGCTTCCGACCCTTAGTATACCAAGCCGGCAGCGTAGAAGAAGCGATGAACCCTCCATTCTTAGTGACCTTGCGTGGCTCCAGGCCCAAAGCCTTCCAGGTTGGTCGCCAAGTCTCCTTCTTCTCGAGCAGTGCCTGGGCCTGCTCCTTGTAGGCATTGCGCAACTCTTGATCAGGCTTTTCACCCTTGTTCGGCTTAGGGTTCTCCTTTTCTTGTAGGTCGATCTGGAACTGCTCGGCCTTTGCCCAGCTTTCATGCTCCCATCTATTAGTAGAAATTGGTTAGTCATGATGTTCAGTTTGGTGCATCTGTATTGGGAATACAGAGCAAGAAAAAGGAATTGAACATGGAAAGAACGAGAATGGTAAGGAAGGGCGTCACATACGGGGTCAGATCCTTGGGCGCCTCGGGGTACACGAAGGGCTCCTTCAATTCAACGGTCATGCGCTTCTGCGACTTAGGTCGACGCCACGGGCCGAAACCCTTTCCATCGCGCGAAACTCGTGTGATTGGTTGTGCCTGGACGTAACTGCGGATGCCGAGAGATGCGACTCCGTACAAGTGCCATAGGTAGCTGCGGAGGTCGAACTTGTTGAAGTTGAGGGGGACGCGGAATTGAGCATATCGGGGGGTGAGGTTGGGGGTTCGAACTAGAGCGACGCGGAATTGAGGTCTAATGAGACGGGGAATTAGTTCTGGTTCTTTTTTATTTCGTGGTGAATGTCCGATTGAGCCGATCAAGACTGCTGGGATGCTGTTTTGGTCGAGCCGAGTCCGGGTTCCTGGAAATTTTGGGCAACGTACAGGTACACGGGCTTGCCGACGTTGCTGGGCCATTTGGGTTTCGGTGGTGCTTGGACTGCAGCCTGGTTCTGCAGGCGGCGCAGAGCTTTCGCTTGGACACTGCTGAGACGCACCATCGTGTTGTTGAGTGGATGAATCTGGGGGTTGGAGGTGCTTGCGGATCCATCAAAACTGCGTTGGCCGATCTGGTCACATGACTTCCAAGTATACGCCAATAGTTGAACACAACAGTTCGAATTACACTGTGTCTTTAATATGTTAGGTACAATTTATATGGTTTTGTCGTGTTCAGAATATAAGAAGCATTAATCACAGGATATAGAATATAGGTAGTGGAAAAGATGTGAAATGTGATGTTATTGATATTTCCTAAATGAAGAGTTTGGGTATCCTAGAAGACATCCGTTGATAGGAAAATGTTGAAACCTATATTACATGCTTTATTCATCGTAAATAGTCATTAAAAAGCCCAAGATCATTTCCTTTTACTGCTCCGATGATCCCGAGACTCGAAGTTCCTCTAACCGCTTGGTGCTGTCATCGACATCTTCGGAGAACTTAGTATCAAGGGCACCACCCTCCTCGTCTTCAGATCCAGACTCGGCCTCATCATCATCCTCATCGTCACTATCCTTAGAAGCCTCCCCATCTCCTTTGACTCCCACATCTGCCATATAAGCCTCAAGCTCACGGGCCATTTTGCGCGAGAAACCAGTGGCCTCAACCTCGACATCCAGACGCTTTCCAGGATTCTTCACGAGCAACTTCCTAGCCTCGGCAAAAGTAGGGCCTGTTGAGTCGCTCACGAAGTGGAACTTGCGCTTGAAGTACCGCTTGATACATTCCACATCACGGTCAAAGTACATTTCAGCGTTAGCATGGTCGACGGACAACATCTGCGGGAAATCAATGAGAACCGGGACCAGCCGGATATGCTCATCTTCCTCTTCCTCAGTGAGCTCTTTCCCCTTCATTTCAGGTGCCAGCTCTTCCTTGATAAGGATATTGAACTCGTTGAAATCACCGTGGATAAGACCATATCGCGCAAGCTCCAAGATCATATTCATAAGCTCGGAGTATAGCCCAGCGGGGTTGGCGACTTTAGCAATTTGGCGCAGCGGGAAAGCGTCGATTAGACTCATGACGATAGTGTGTCGGTTCTGGGCAATGGGATCGGGTACGGAGAATCCATTCTCGCGCAAAGCCTTCATGAAAGCAAACTCCTTCATCGCTGCCAATCGAGACATGTACATCCATGAGGCTGAGCTGCGGTGTCGTAGGTAGTCGCGGTTTGTCTTGACTGTTCGGAACGAGATACGGCCGAGACGGTGAATTTTCATAATGCGCTGCGCACCAGTGGCATCTGCCACCACGATGATGTCTGATTCCTTTCCCACGCCGATTTGGTTGCCGACTGAGTAGATGACTTTTGACTTTTGGTGCGCGTTCAGCGCAAGATAATCCAATCCTCCATATGCGAGTCGGTAGCCGTCATCTATATGCAACATGCTTGTATTAGTGGCGGGATCAAATGCGCAAGTGAATGGGATGCATACACTTGGAGTTTTTGACCTTTGCAATCAAGTTGATTTTCGCGAGGTTTGAGATTGCACGGTTGACACCGCTGCCGCCTCGGAGGCCCGAAAGCTGTGAGATCAACGGCGTTGGAACGACCTCATGGTTCCGGCTGCCAGCTTCACACTAGAACAATCCACCAGGTTAGCCAATGAAGAATGCGCGATATAACGCTCTCAAATCGAGAACATCGCGGGGTAAATTGAAGAGGAGGGGCCGATAAGTACCGCTGCAAGAACTCGAAAATCCTCGGATGTGAGGTAGCGAATAGCCTTAGCGTCGAGTTTCATGGTTGCGAGGGAATGAAGGAGCTTTTCACTTTCTTCCAATTTCCCTAAATTGATTCGTTGAAGACTATAACTTCAAGACAAGTTGGACCAGTCAACGATACAGCGGAGGAAAAAAGTTGATAAGGACCTAGCCCTAAACCCTATTTCCTATTTTGGCTGAGAACCTTGATAGATAGCTTCGCCTTCATTTGGATAACATCATGCGATGATTCCAACGTTATGGCTTGATACGTTTCTAATTCACATGAAAATTAGGCGGGTAGTTTAAGCTGAGTGTCTACTATGTATACTCGTATAGGCTCACATATGTAAGCTAGTCAAAGTTCCAGGCAGTTGCAGTAGAAGCCAAACAGATATAGAACTTGTAATATAAATCCATGCTATTCTTCATTCGTTCTGAATACTACATTAGATCCAACGATAACCCGACCACTACACGAGTCCCGCTGGTTGCGAGCAATGGATGTAAATCGGGGAATATCTAGTCTAGCTTGCTTATTCAGGGCTTTCATAGTCCGGGTTCTAGAAGATAGGTTAGTACTGGCTATTTGGACTGGGATAAGGATACATACTTTGCGCAAGATAACCAAGCCTTCGAGAGTGCTGCTCAGAGGGATGTACTGCTCATCCTCAAGCTCGGCTCTCTCGCCGTGTGCCAGGAGCACTGGCGTGCTCTGAGTTTGCCATCCAGTGATAGTCTTGGGCCGACCCGCCTGGCCAACCACGTCCACAGCCTGGCCAACGCGGACGTTGACAGTGAGTGGCTGAAGGTCCTCGTCGAGGGTAATAAGGAATCGGGGGAACATGGCGGTGATGAGGAAGTAGAGCAGGTAGTGGTGTTCGGCGAGGATAAATTGCTTGGCATCAATGAGTGATACAAGCACAGTAAGCAAACCCGCTGCTGAGACACGGGAAAGGACCTGTCGGTCGGTGTGGAAGGGATTAAGCGTCATGGTACCCTTGCCCATGTGTAGGAGACCCTGTGCGATGCGAACCATGAACAATGAGTTCTGGTCACGATGGTAGTAGCTGGCCAATTGCCGGAGAAGCTGTGCAAGACGGGCATTGTTGGTACCGGCACCACAGAGACCCATGGCGAAGATGGCGTTAATGGCAACTTCGTTGTCATTGTCGTGACTGTACCGGGACAGTGTATCGTAAACCTTCATTTGTGGGTTGCTAGGGCTGATCAAACCCATAGCCAGGGGAACTGCCCGACGGATGTTGGGAGATCCATAGTGCATGAGGTGACCGAACTGGCGAAGAATCATATCTTGTCCAACATCCTCACCCATGGCAATGAGAGACAAACCGAGAACAGCGTACGACTGAACAAGCTCATCGCCCTTGTTCTCCTCCTTCTCTTCAATGATGTCATTGCAGATGTGGAGGAGCTCTTGTAGCTTGAGAACTGTACCGGTGCCTGCCCAAGCGCATACTGAGGCAAGGACTGATGTGGGCTTGGCCATGGGGTGATCGACTGCCTTAAGGATGTCAAGAATGACATCAACCTCCTCTTGGCGGCCGAAGTACAAAAGTGCCAAACCAAGGGCCATAAACCTTGTCCACTTGTCCTTGAGCTGCTTCTGACGCTCCTCATCCATCAAGGTCGTCGCGATCGCCTCGCTAACCTGGTGGTTTGATGAACCGACAAAGATGAGACCTAGTGAAACTGCTGCCATGGCAGACAGCTGCATGTCTAGTGAGGCATCCTCCACAATGGGAAGGAGAACCTCAAGCAGTTCTTCCTTGTTGGAGCCGGCATATGCCAGACCAAGACCCATGATGGATGCAACTCTCATTGGTACGTTCTTCGCCTCAAGGTTGTCAGGGTCGCTCAAGAGGGCAAGAGCGGGGTCGGAGTCCAGTCGGACGCCGGAGTTCAGGATACCAATGGCGAGCAATGCACCAGCCTTGACCTGGTCTTCTTGCGCGTAGGTGAACTTGTCGATCTTATCCAACCCATCCTCAACATCACGGTGTAGCAGCATACCCAGAGACGCAGTTGTGGAAAGCATGCCATCGTCCTTGGTCTTCCACACCCACGGGCCCTTGTCACCCTCCACTAGCATCATCTTATCGTTACCAAAGCCGGCGTTAGCAAATGAATTGACAAATGCGCTGGCCAAGTTGTGTCGTGCCGAATCAAGATTGGTGAGGCCGGCTCCGCGACTGCTCTCAAGGTGTGTCTTGTAGATATCTTCTGGCATCTTGGGGTCGAGAATGTTGAGTTCCTTGGCCAAAGATTTGAAGTGCTTCGGAATGGAAGTGTTGTTGAGACAATCAGCCAACGCCTCCCCCTCCTCATCCTCAGCCGGAAGGTCGAGCCAGATCTGCTGCCGGGCGACAAGGAAGGCCATCTGTTTCTTCAAAGCCTTGTCGGTCGTGGCGTGGATATCACTCTTGATAAGCTCGGTGTCGTTCAACCGGATAGCGAGCACGATTGCTTGCGAAAGTTTGTTGTAACGGACGTAGATACCGTGGGCGGTTCGGAGGAATTGCTGATCTTCAGGGTAAGTGAGGAGATTGACCATGCTGACCATATACAAGCAGACTCGTGCGTATGTGTTCTCGTCAACGAATTGGGGGATATCTTCGATGATTTCCAGTTCGCTCATGAGATCAACCGCATCGGCTTCAGCATTATGACTCAGGAAATAGGGCACCAAAGACAACGCAAGATCCACTAGATCCTGGGTATCCTGGTCTGCGTTCAACCGGTTCTGATATTCTTGCCCGATCTCCAGTGCGAGATGTCGGACATACTCGTGACCCCAGGAGCCAAGGTCCTCCGATTTAGCCAGCAGGCGGTATTTGATGGTTTCCAGCTTCTCTTCGTCTCCGTAGGTCATTCCAAGAACGGACAGCATATCAGCCAACGAGTTCTAGAAATATAATATCGTTAGATCATCACAAAGCGACGCAAGCGCTGTAGAACTCACCTGCACGGGGCCTGGAACCCATTTCTCGTATAGCTCTGCCAAGCCATCATAATGCGGTCGGAGGAACTTGAGAGGCTTAGGGACAGCTGTCATGGAGGATGTAGAAGTCTTGATAAAGTTCTTGATTGCGTCCAAAGCAGGGCCATAGAGCGTGGTATCCGGTTCCTATTGAGAACAAAAGAGATGATTAACGTCATTGTGTTATGCGCACGGGACAGGAGAATGACGGTACCTTTAACCGCTCAACGAGCATTTCAAGTTCGCTCTTCAATTGCTGATCTTCTTCGCTGAGTTCCTCTATAGAGAATTTCTGTTAGAATGTTGCTTTGAGTGCCACGGTGGACTCTTGAGAGAAACCGCATGCTCCGTTGCAAGAACCTTGGCTTATCGCAACGTACCATCTTGAGACTTCTCGTCTTTCTTCTTTTCGTCTGCTGGCTTTTCGCCATTTTCAGTGTTCTTGTTGTTCAGATCATGAACTTCATCAACCTTGCCCTTGCCCTTGTCGGCGGAGGTTGGCCGTTCGCCCTCGTTGGCCATTTCTGATGGTAGCTGGGGACCAAGTCGGGGGGAAATCGAAGCGGCGTGGGAGGGGTAGTTATCGAGTGGGCGAGCAGAAGATAGTGGTATAAAGCAGAAATAGATGAAATTCTGCAAGTAAAGAGTAATGCAAGTGGATTGTAAGCTGGTGATGGAGAAGCAGAGCTCGGTCTGGTGCAGCTCCGGAATTGGATTACATAAGGCGCCAAGCCCTGGAGGCGCTCGTCATTGTTTTGGATTTGCAATGCTACGACTTCGACTCTATCACTAGAATCCTTATAAATCTAGTTTATGGGAAGAGAACCACTTGGATATGATTAAATTCAAATTGAGCATTCGTAATATCCTGAATTCGGTAAACATGCCGGTGAAATGACAACTCAGCTCCTGGAGATTTCGCCAGGAATTCACTCTTGAACACAAAATAATAGGTCTCTCGAGGGATCATCAACCTTGCTATCTTTGGCACATCCTCCGTAATGAGTCCTAAACTGCTTGGCATATTCTTCCGTCTGTTTGGAGTATGCCGCGGCCGTCAATCTAACTCCGTCGTATGAAAGTAGAGGCAAAGCATCAAGATCGGCAAGACCCGAAGAGAACAAGTCAAGCAGCGGCATAATAGTTGATGCGCGGTCCAGGGGTTTTTCAATAGATTCCAAGCCACTAGAATCTCCACCTATCAGCGGCTGAGTAGGGTCATGGATGGCTTGAGTGGCTTCTTCGCCCGAGGTAGCGGGATTGGAGCCTCCGAATTCTTCTGGGGTCTGATATAGCTCGTTGTGTACTGTGGCAATTGAGGGAGATTTGATGCCCGGGAATGATGGATACAGGAGATAATATCCTTTGGCACGGATCATCTCGAGCATGTGTTCCATAAAGGCAGGATATTTCTCTGATATCAACTTTGTTTGGGGGGCCGCCGCGGATTCCGGAGTCGACAGGCGGTTAGCCATAAAGGAATGGAATTCCGCCCACGCATCACCGAAATACAAAACTGCATTGCTATTGGGCGACTGCCACAGGAATGAGGGAAGGAACTGCTCTTTGCCTTCAACATTCATGGGCGGTGGGGTGAAAGGTTGGCTATCAGCTGTGGGTTTGGATGATGGCAGTTCGAGTGAGATACCGATCATATTGAAAAATATGCGCTTGGCACGGGCAGACTGTTTGTAATTCAGTACAGCAAACTTCAAGTAGTGGTAGAACGATGGTGCAAGCTCGGTCTGTGGAGATAGCAGAAGCAAATGTGTCATCTCAGGATCCCGTGGATAGAACGACTCCACGGTTCGGAGCGATGATTCCGCCGTGTCCAAGTTATGCGGTTGAATGCGTCGCCGAATAGTGAGTCGGCCGGGAAGCTGGGTCAACCCATCTAGATGCTGTAGAAACTGAAGCAACTGCGAATCTACCCGCTGTGGGAGCTCTATTGTCAAGCTTGGACTTGACCCTAAATAGTCGGCTGCATCCAATGACTTGATAAGCCTGATCAAAGACCCAGAAGACTCGGAGGGGGCATGCACCACCATTTCGATTTGTACTTTATTCCACGCTATTGCACGTACAGTGAGTATTTCCGGACTCGGCATTCCAAAGAGGGGCAGTATAGCTTACATCGAAGAGCCTTGCTATCCAGCGAGGCTATCCACATAAGATCTCTTGAAGCAGTGGAGAGAGCAACATGGGGAATGCCTTTTTCTTGAGAATAGACCTCAACCCCGTCCCAGAAGAAGGAATCCTCCCAGCCCTGATCTTGTGTTATGATAGCCTCAGGGCTGATGTAGGTTTGTATGTTTTGCAACCCTCCTATCACGGATCGCTTCATACGATCATCGGTAGATCTTGGTGCATAGTCCGGCCGAGCATCTGTTAGTTATCGCCTAGTCAGTAAAATGGGTCCGACCATCATGGTCAGAATATCATACCGTGCCAAGCCATCGGGCATTCACTATCTCTGATTCCGTTAACTTCCTTGATACCTTCAATCGAAACATCGTCCTTTCCCATCAGGGTGAAATGCACGTAGTTCAACTGCTCACCAGCCATGCGACAAGCTAGGGGCAAGAGATCTGACACACTGCGGAGACTTGAGGCTGCAAACACAATCGCACGACTAGCGGCTTTCTGCGAATATTTGTAGCGAGGAAGAGAGTGGGCCAACTCGTAGAACTTGATCCTCCCGTCGTAAGCTTCCTCTTTTTGGTTCGATTCCGACTCCCTGACAGGTGGCGAATTGTCGGATAGTACAATATCTGAATTGGGAACAGCCAGTGGCTTATCTGAGCCAGTCAATTTGGCAAGGCTTTCTTCTCGTAGTTTCGCAATCGCAGGGTTGTACCGATCGGCGGCAGGTCCCAGGTCTGTCGGCATGTGTTTGAAGAATTCATAAACGAGAACAAGCGCAAAGATAGCAAATAGTATCCGGCGAGGTCGAGGCATTGGTCGGTGTTGTAGGTATGGGAAGCGCGCTTGATCATATGGCCGATGGTCGTCATCTTTCTTGCCCATCTCTTCATCAGCCCGAAGGGGCATCTTTGCGGGGGTCATGATGTGCGCCGGAATAATTGAGGGCAAGCTCTGCGAGCTCCGTGGTTTCCTCTATGGCATTGAAGCAACGGAGGGACACAAAGAGCGAATGCGACCGAGTTGTTGCATATTCATCGAGAGCAACTTAGAATGCAGCGGCGTAAAACGATCTCCGCAAACAATGACGCCTAGGCTCTCTTATCAGCTTATCAGTCTTCGCCTTTTCTCCAACTACGCGCACTTCGCGCAATACATTTCCCTCCCAAACACCTTCCTGATATCTGAGAATCATCATGGAAGACGATATGGATATTGAGCCTATTGATCAACGCGGCACGAAGCGCGCAGCGGAGGAATATGAGCCTCCGGAACCCCCTAAACCAAAGAAAATTAAGGTAAGGGAACGCGTGCACACGAACCCCATCGTATACTATCACATAGAACAAATACTAAATTCCATATAGGCTTTAGATCCAGATGTCGTAAATAAAATTGCTGCTGGAGAGATTATCGTTGCTCCAATGCACGCACTGAAGGAGCTTATCGAAAACGCCGTCGATGCCGGCTCCACCTCAATTGAAGTCCTGATTAAGGAGGGTGGCCTGAAACTACTCCAGATTACCGATAATGGGCATGGTATCGATGTAAGTCATCTCTTATGTTACAGCAATCGTCTCTAACAGTATACAGAGAGATGATCTCCCTATCCTCTGCGAGAGGTTTACTACGTCCAAGCTCAAAGAATTTGAAGATCTGACCTCCATTGGAACGTACGGATTCCGCGGTGAAGCTCTGGCTAGTATTAGTCATATCGCACATCTGACGGTTACGACGAAGACTGCTGGATCCAGCTGCGCCTGGCGAGCACATTACGGAGATGGCAAGCTGATACCAGCAAAGCCAGGCCAGAGTTCTGCACCCAAGGCAACGGCTGGCCGAGGAGGAACTCAAATCACCGTAAGTTGGAGAAATGGACGTACGGCATGATTTCAAGTTAACGAAGCCCAAGGTCGAGGATCTCTTCTATAACGTCCCCACTCGGCGGAGAGCTTTCCGCTCCGCAAGCGAGGAATATGCCAAAATTCTCGATGTCGTTGGCCGGTATGCAGTGCATTGCTCAGGGGTCGCTTTCTCATGCCGCAAACACGGAGACTCCGGTGTGAGCATCTCGACTCCAGTCAGCGCAAATACTATCGACCGGATCCGCCAGATTCACGGTAGTGCCGTAGCGAACGAGCTTGTTGAATTTAAGACTCAGAATACGAGTTTCGGATTTCGCGCATCCGGCTTGGCTACCAATGCCAACTATCATGTCAAGAAGACGGTGATTCTGCTTTTCATTAACCATCGCGCAGTCGAATCAACTGCTGTTAAACGTGCAGTTGAACAGACTTACTCTGCTTTTTTGCCTAAAGGCGGCCACCCTTTCGTGTATCTTGATCTTGAGATCGAGCCTAACCGCGTCGATGTCAATGTACACCCAACAAAGCGCGAAGTGAATTTCCTGAATGAAGACGAGATCATCGAGCTTGTTTGCACTGAAATCCGATCCAAGCTGGCTGAGGTGGACTCGAGTCGCACATTCCTAACTCAAAGCCTGCTGCCTGGCGTGCAGACCATCGAGTCCCTACAACGCGATCAGGGCGCTCCGGCGGCCGAGGGAACAGCAGAGCCAGCAAAAGCTGGAGGGACGCCCAAAACACCCGCGACAAAGAGACCCTACGAAAACAACCTCATCCGAACAGATTCCAAAGTCCGCAAAATCACAGCCATGCTAGGCCCAGCCGCAGCCTCACCTCGCGACCCATCCAACCCAGCTGCGCCCACAGAAACCGACACCCCAACAACATCGATCCTAGACGATGGCCTCCAATACGAAACAACAGATCGCCAACCCCTCAAGATCGCGTTCACATCCGTCAAAAGTCTCCGCGCCTCCGTCCGCTCCGAAATGCACAACACACTAACAGAGATGTTCGCATCACACACCTATGTCGGGCTAGTCGACGAGCGACGGCGTCTCGCAGCAATCCAGTCAGGCGTGAAACTATACCTAATCGACTACGGTCTCGCCTGCCACGAATTCTTCTATCAAGTAGGCCTAACCGACTTCGGAAACTTCGGCATAATCCGACTCGACCCAGCGCCGAAGTTGGTAGATCTACTAAAAATCGCCGCAGAATCGGAACGGGAAGAGCATATGGCCGCCAACAAGGAAGAGGCCGATTCCGTTTTCGCCAATGCACCGGATATGATAGCACGCACGCTGATCGAGCGTCGCGAGATGTTGAACGAGTACTTTTCGCTGCAGATCAGTCCTGATGGAGATTTGCTGGCTATACCGCTGTTGCTGAAGGGGTATCTGCCTGCGCTAGCTAAACTCCCTCGTTTCCTGCTGAGGCTTGGGCCGTATGTGGATTGGAGTAACGAGGAAGGGTGTTTCCGTACATTTCTGCGTGAGCTAGCTGCTTTCTACACGCCTGAGCAACTTCCGGTTCTTTCGCAGTCGGTTGCACAGGAAGCGTCGGGGGAGTCGGCTGCGCAGGGATCGGGTGTAGCCGATGGCTCTGGGGTCGAGGACGATGATGCTTTTATTAGAGCTCGTCGTGCGCAGATGGTTCGCATGTTGGAGTATGCTATTTTCCCTGCTCTGCGTGCACGACTGGTTGCCACGTCACGACTGCTACGGGGTGTGATTGAGGTTGCAGATCTGAAGGGTCTGTATCGTGTATTTGAGCGCTGTTGAGCGAGGGGATAGTACTATCATACAGTTGTATTGTATGAATTTATATTTATGAGTGACGAATATGTTTCTAGTTTTCGGGGGATTTAAGGCGTACATTGGTGATCCGAGATCTGATTTGTATCCTATACCATTGACATTGACGTGACTGGTAGGGCTAGGGGGCATAGCGAGGACAATTGAAGAATTGTAGAAATCAATTGATGTAAATTAAGGCGAGATATACAACTAATTACAGGGGACATAAACTCAAGTCCTACAACGGAGTCGGATTCTACCCGCACACGTCGAATATATATCATCAGCTTCAACTATACATACACATATCCACCAACATTACATTGTTTAACAAATAGTTGATATCAGTAAACAGTTAATTGACTAGACATTTGAATAACTCAGTATTCAGTGTACTAACGCGTTATCCTACGCGTAGTAAGAAATCATAGGTGCGACTGGATCAAACCGAGCGAGTCTGATCAAATGTGTCGCATACAGTGCATCTACATTTGAAACACACATGATCCGTTTCATGTCGGCCCATTTTGACTAATCCAGGGTGTATCATGATATAATATGACTTAGTAGGGATTAGTCGGACCACGGCAACATATGGTTTATGTCTGTTACATCCTTGCGTTATGTCAACAAGCAGCGGTAGTGCGGTGGTAGAGTGCAAGATTACTAGTCTTTTTATCCCGCTCCGCAGTCATTGCTTCTTTTCACTTTGTTCTCACATATCATGGTAGGGACCTAAGATTGTTCAAGGCCTAAGCTAATAATAGCGGGAAATAATAATGATTCGTCTATTGGTCAATTCGAACCAGCGACCTCCACGAGTGGATATTGTCACGTGAACTCCTAAAAGCGTAATAACCAATTAAACACTATAAATGGGACCCACTTCTGTATACCCTCAAAAAACGACATGTAAGTAAAAAAAAAAAATGGGCATCTTCTCTTTGATTGAGCGTGTCATCCTTAGTGCAGGGGCCAAGCTAATCCTCTCTGTATATTTTCAACGTCACACTATGCCCCGAAGGGCGAAAAGAGATCCTTAAAGTGCATTATAACTACCTTACCGCTTGTTTTGGAAGGATAGAAAGTACCACGTGATGCACATCAACCGTTCCTTCCCATTCAAAGTTGTATTCTAGATGCCTGGCCGGGCAGGTGAACCCGTTGACCTGTTGACCCAGAGGGATCATTAGCCTTATACGTATGTGACAGCGCCCAAATATCAGACCTCGGGATCAGTAGAAGCTTTTTCCAAGGTATGAGAAGTGACATATGCCGCCTAGTGAGCACCTCAGATATCCGAGTATCCAGTCTATCATTAACGTATTCGCTTGGGCAAAAGATTAGATTTTGGGTCAGCAAGTCATTCGACGGTTTCGCATACTTTGACCAAGGCTTCCTTATGACTCTCATATGTATCCGCAACAGAGTGGCAAGGTCCGTACTACTGAGAACAATTGTATTTAGCTTGCCGCTAACATCGAGACTGCTCGGTTGACCTTATTCAAATAAGCCATCTTACTCTTCTTGGTATCTGTATCAAGTTTATACTCTTGTTTTATGGGAATATGCCAAAATGCATAATAGGGTGAACAGACCCTTGATAGGCGGCCCCGGGGCCATTAGAGAGGCCAACGGATTTCGGCCAACGGATTTCGGGCCAATAGTCCCCCCGAATGATATTTTTGGCTCTCGGATGTCTCCGACAACTTAGGTGATCTTATTGATCGTATTGATCGTATTGATTTTAAGGCCCCTACAAACCCTTGTAGGGGGCCAAGGTATAAACCTCACTGGCAACGAAATGCCATCTATGGGATCGGATATGGGCATATAACAAAATCCGAACTAATGCCAGCTAAAGGGGAAGCATGAAGCTGAAAAATGTCGGCCAGATTATATCCCCATCACCGAATGAGTATGCCCATGGTCTTTAAAACAAATGTTTTCTCTCTTTAGAGATAGTATCGTCGTGCCCTAGCAACTTCTCTCAGCTATGGCAGTGGAAACAGACCACGAACTGCAAGAAAATGTGCTGCGAGAGGAGCATCGCAATGAGCAAGCGATCGCCAAACCTCTGCCAATGAAAAGAGGGTTTCAGTTCTGGGCCATTATCTTTGCCCTCTGCGTGACCGGTCTCCTGTCTGCACTTGAGAATACGGTGGTTTCGACGTCAATGCCAGTAATCGTGCGGGAGCTTAACATCGGCGACAATTATGTCTGGATCACGAACGCCTTCTTCTTCACTAGGTAGCGTTATTCCCTGCCGCTAGTCATAGTGACCTGTGTCCGAAACTGACAATTTCTGACATTCTCCAGTGCAGCGGTTCAGCCGCTATTTGGCCAGCTAGCCAACGCCTTCGGCCGTCGATGGTTGACGATATTCATCGTCGCTGTCTTCACCCTGGGAAGCGGCATCTGTGGTGGGGCGAATAGCGCAAACATGCTCATCATCGGACGCGCCATCCAAGGGATTGGAAGCGGTGGCATCAATATGATCGTCGATGTTATCGTATCAGATCTCGTCCCACTACGTGAGCGCGGAAACTTCATCGCCATCGTGCTCACCGTGTACTCCGTTGGCAGCTCGATGGGCCCGTTTGTGGGTGGAATCATTGTCCAACGAACTACTTGGAGATGGGTTTTCTATATCAACCTACCTGTTGGCGGGTTTGCGCTGGTGCTTCTTTTCCTATTTCTTCACACTAACTATCAGCGCGAGACCACCTTTTCCGAAAGAATCAAGCGTATCGACTATATCGGCAATTTCCTCATCATGGGATCTACGGCAGCAGTTCTCTGTGCATTGACATACGGAGGCTCACGCTACGCGTGGGGATCATGGGAGATAATTGTGCCATTAGTCCTAGGACTAGCTGGTCTGGTTATATTCATGGTCTTCGAACAATCTAAGTTCTGCCACGAGCCCGTCGTTCCACTGCGTCTGTTTAGAAATCGAACCTCCCTCGTGGTCTTCACCAACACATACCTGTTCTCACTTCTTCTATACTGGGTGTTGTTCTTTATTCCGGTTTACTTCCAGGTTATTCTGGGGTCTTCGGCAGCCCGAGCAGGCGTTCAAATGCTGCCAATGACCCTCGTTGCAATTCCCGGCGCCGTGATTGCAGTGATAATTCTCTCGAAGTTTGGAAAATACAAAGCCCTTCACTTGGTGGGCTTTGTTATCCTCACATTGGGTATTGGTCTGTTTGCTCACCTCGACCGCTACTCGTCCGATGCGGAGTGGATCGTTTTTCAGGTCATTGCTGCGCTCGGTTCGGGAATGATCCTGAACACTTTGCTCCCTGCGTTCCAGGCTCCACTCGCTGAGTCGGACCAGGCAGCAGCCACAGCAACCTGGGCGTTTATGCGGAGCTTTGGAAATGTATGGGGCGTGGCTATTCCGGCTAGCATCTTCAACAATCAGTTTAATCAATACGCCTATCGTATTTCTGATGCGGGTGTGCGACAAATGCTCTCTGATGGTCACGCCTACGAGCACGCGTCCAATGTTTTCATTGACAGCCTAAGGGAACCGGTGAGGAGCGAAGTTATTGGGGTATTCTCTGACTCCCTTAAGCTTGTCTGGGAGGTATCGATTGCTTTCTGCGGTCTTGCTTGTGTATTGGTGCTTATGGAGAAAGATGTGCCTTTGCGACAGGAGCTTGAGACTGATTATGGCATGACTGAAAAGGATGGTATACAGGCAGAAAAAGGGGTTATTCCTGATACTGAAAAGTAGGCTCGGATACATCGCCGACTAAGATTAATGGCAGGCTATAAGATAGTAGAAATGAGCATCAGTCCTTATCGTGGATCTAGTTAAGATGCCACAAGAGACGAAGGTCGCTATATAGAGGGAAGAATAATCTATCGAGATACAAAGTAGAGAGCCAAGGTCTATCAATGTATCTCTAGATGAGGCTTAACGTCACATCTTAACGAAACAATATAGTATTTTCCTCGACTTGCATAAATTTGTTTTCAATCGATTGGTGTACTGGTTCATTTATTGATTCTACCGGAGTTGACCTTTCAGCCCTGGGTTATGCCTACAGAAAGACTGCGTATGTTTCAAAGAGGCTGCTGCATGCAACATCATGAATTGATCAAGGCTATCTAATGAGAACATAGTACACGATAAAAAGAGACCCTCCTACAAAGAATCTTGTTGTCCAAGACCATCTTTTTCCATTCCTTCTCAATTCCTCTTCGAAGCACAAGCATTGTAGGCGGCTGAATGTGGATGGGCCAATGTGGATGATTGACCGGTCGAAGTGATAAAGTGATCAAGCGCTGATCTCAAGCAACAATCCTTTTTTCCCACCATAGGAAATGGTATTGAGAGGCTCCTTTGAATGGGGGCATGTTGTGATCTCCTGACGAGCGGCCTCTGAGGACGATCATTCTGTATGTATATTTGAAATAGTTCGAGACTTTGGTGTTTTTCTTCAAGCTGGACCATTGGATGTGGATGCTTAGATGCTCGAATGTGTAGGCTTGTTTGGGATGCTCGGTTATAGAGGCTTGAATGTGGATGTCTTGATGCCTCTATGCTCGGATGTGGAGACTTGTTTGTGGAGGCTTGTGGATCCTTGGATATTCTGTTTGTAGGTGGTTGGATGTTTGGATGCTTGAATGCTTTTGAATCCTTGTTGGAGTGGATGTGGTAAAGCGCACATGTTTGGTCTAGTCACCTCTATGGCAGATAAAAAGGCAACAGAAGTGGTGATTGAATGATTGTAGTAGGTAGTTGACCAGTCTGCCGATTGTCCTGAAGCCAAATGGCCCGCCACGGTCAGACTGGGAGTTGCTGATTGGATTGCTAAATTGGATTGATCGAGGTGGGCAATTGATCGAGGTGGTTGCTTGAAGTGGTTGCTCGACCAGTCTGCCGATTGTCCTGAAGCCAAAGCCCGCCACGGTCAGACTGGAGTTGGATGATGATTCGATATGGGGGCTCGATTGGATTCGTTGTTCGATTGGATTCGTTGGTCGATCGGATTCGTTGTTCGATTCGATTGGTTGTTCGTCCAGTCTGCCGATTGTCCTGAAGCCAAATGGCCCGCCACGGTCAGACTGGAATGGTTGATTGGATTCGGTTGTTCGATTGGATTCGTTGGTCGATCGGATTCGTTGTTCGATTCGATTGGTTGTTCGTCCAGTCTGCCGATTGTCCTGAAGCCGAAGCCCGCCACGGTCAGACTGGAGTTGGATGATTTGATTCGGTTGAATTGATGGTTTGAAGTTGGTTGTTCATCCAGCCTGCCGATTGTCCTGAAGCCGAAGCCCGCCACGGTCAGACTGGGATTGGATGATTCGATATGGGGGTTGATTGGATTCGTTGCTCGATTGGAGTTGGTTGTTCGTCCAGTCTGCCGATTGTCCTGAAGCCAAGTGGCCCGCCACGGTCAGACTGGGATTGGATGATTCGATATGGGGGTTGATTGGATTCGTTGCTCGATTGGAGTTGGTTGTTCGTCCAGTCTGCCGATTGTCCTGAAGCCAAAGCCCACCACGGTCAGACTGGATGGAATTGGATGATTGAAGTTGCGATGAATGAATTGTTGAAGCTTTTTTTTTTTTTTTTGTTTTTGTTTGTTTTTTTCGTTCTTTCTTTTTGAAGTGATTGATTGAAGTTGGTTGATTGGCCAGTCTGCCGATTGTCCTGAAGCCGAAGCCCGCCACGGTCAGACTGGAGTTGGATGATTGGATTCGGTTGATTTGAGGTGTGTTCGAAGTTGGTTGTTCGAAGTTGGTTGTTCGAAGTTGGTTGTTCGAAGTTGGTTGTTCGAAGTTGGTTGTTCGAAGTTGGTTGTTCGTCCAGTCTGCCGATTGTCCTGAAGTCAAAAGGCCCGCCACGGTCAGACTGGAATTGGTTGGTTGAAGTTGCGGTGGATGGTTGAAGCTTTTGTTTTCTTTTTTGTTTTCTTTTTTGTTTTCTTTTTTGTTTTCTTTTTTGTTTTCTCTGTTCTTTTTTTCCTTCTTGTTTCTTTCTTTCTTTCTTTCTTTCTTTCTTTCTTTCTTTCTTTCTTTCTTTCTTTCTTTCTTTCTTTCTTTCTTTTTGTTTTTCCTGCTTTTCCTCTTCCTTTCTTTCCTTCTTTTTTTGTTTTGAAGTGGATGGTTGAATTGATGGTTTGAAGTTGGTTGTTCGTCCAGTCTGCCGATTGTCCTGAAGCCGAAGCCCGCCACGGTCAGACTGGAATTAATTGGTTGGAGACTTGATTGTTTGAAATGGTTGGTTGGTTGGAGCGGTCATCAAAGTGGAATGAGAAAGACATAAGTCTTATGCCTGATAGAGATGACTTTGTGTCAAGACATGTATGTGGTTGAGTCAAGACATGTATGTGGTTGAGTCAAGACGTGTTGAGGGACGTGTCATGTGTCAAGACATGTGGTTGAGTCAAGACATGATGAGGGACGTGTCATGTGGTTGAGTCAAGACGTGTTGAGGGACGTGTCATGTGTCAAGACATGTATGTGGTTGAGTCAAGACATGTTGAGGGACGTGTCATGTGGTTGTGTCAAGACATGTATGTGGTTGAGTCAAGACAGGTTGAGGGACGTGTCATGTGGTTGAGTTACCTAAAGGATGAATGAAAGTCAGGAAAGAGAAGACAAGTTGGAGGAGGATATGATGTAGTACATTACGATGTAACAATATGATAGATGATGAACATGACTGTGTGGTGTCAGACATGTTGAAGGCTGAAGCTTGATGGAAGCCTTGATGGAAAATGGAAGAGTGGATAAAATTTTTTGGATGGTATGAAGAGTTGGGGAGATGAAGAAGGAAGAAAGAAAAAAGAGAGAAAAGAAAAAAGGAGGGGGTATTTATACCCCCAAGGATCAGGGACGGCGTATTTCGCCAGGAACGACTTTTGTCTCGTTTGCACTGGGGGCGTCGTCGCGGGGACCCCCCATTTTGCAACTTTCCCTCTTCAACTACTTACACAATAATCTTACACCATTTTCTATGTTTATTGAGGCAGTAGTGTAGGTCCGGATAGTTCCTAGAGTCGTAAAAAGCAGATGTGAGACTGTGCACACACACTCTATAGGCTTACGCCACTAGATAATATCCTTGGCTCTAGCAGGAATCAACCCAGAGGCTTCATTTGTATGCTGAAATTTATCCTGTTCACCTATCTTTTATAGAAACGCACTATGTTGTTGACTGAAGATATACCTAGGTCGTTGACATGCAGCACAACTTATAGATCGTTTAAGGTTACACGCTAAACTGTGTTTGGTATGGCGTGCACGGCCCTTGTGTCATGTCGTACAGCCATGGTCGCCCAGGCGGATGCCCACTTAAGCACAGACCTTGGGCCGCCCTGAACACCTAAGAAGTTCATGTATGTGAGCGACTAGCACTAGTACTAGGAGTAACGATAAATGTAGCTAGTTTGTGATAGCATAGATCGTGGGTTGCTAGAATCTGCAAGTGGGGCCCATGTATCAGGTCTGAGATTGTATTGTGCCCACATATGAAGAGGCAGACTAGCAGCACAAAGAGCATATCCAGATTCTACTCTAGATACTGTGAATACTAGGTACAACGATCTCATCTTTAGCTTCGCTTTGTCTGCTTGTGGATACTTTTGATCGTCCTTCTCAGGGGTGATTTGTCGGCCCTCTAACTGGAAGCAACCAGTCTCGACCGGTAAACAGTAGTTTGTTGACTTATGGAACTATCGGATATGGAGCTGAATTCAGTCTCATTAAACTGCTTTATCGTTAATCAAGGTCGCATGGAAGTCTTCGCTAGGCTAGATCATGACTATGCTTCGTCGCGACACTGTGCACGTTACTACGATGGGCTGTGGATAGGGTCTACCTAGTACTGAGTGCGCGAGGATATGATCCGAGTGCTATCTGGGCTATTTCTAAGATCTCAATAGCAGAATAGGGAGGCCTAGATGATGCTACTACCCTGAAGTACTATGCGACCAAGGAGTAATAGAGGCCAGTCCACAAGGGGAAGCGATCTAGAGAGATTACGAAGCTGTTTATCTTTGGTAGGTCTTTGGGGCTACATAAGGAGTATAGAGGGCATGAAGATGCGGAATGTAGTGAGTTTATGGAAGCTATAATGGAGGGAGAAAGAAAGAAATCCAGCTATAGCCTATGGGAGAAGCCAAAGACCACTGACGAGTATTGTAGTTTATAAACGCAAAGCCCTCTATATGATTTTGTAGGTCGGGGTACATTCTTAGGTTGTGTCGAGAAACGTGCGCGTGAGAATGAGATTTTGGGCTGACCGAAAAGCACGATGTGCTTCGTGGATGAGAGTTGCTTGAAGCTCGTGAACGTGATTGCGGTGTGCAGTGACGATGAGGACCGATCAAAACTCGCGAGAGTAAGGGGCAAAGGAAGCAAGAAAATAAAGTGCCCGGTGTGCTTCGTCATGAGGATCGGTCGCGGCTCGCAAGGGTGGGTGTAGTATGTACTATGTATCGTCAGTGGGGACCAGTCAGTCAGGTAAAGCTCACCAAAGTGAAGAGCATACGCGGTGAGCTCCGTCGACGAGGATGGGTCGAGACTAGAGATAGTAAGGGACGACGGAAAGGAAGGAGGGAAGGCGTGCGGCGTGCTTCATGGACAAAGCTCGCAGCTAAGGATAGATATGCAGTGTGCTCATTTTGTCCTCGAAAAATCGCATTGGCGACAGCGAGATGGGAGAAAATGCGTAGAGCATAGTGTAGGATAATTGGGAAGTGACACCGTGAATGCACACAGTCGAGCTCATACCCTTTTTGGGTGCTATCCCGGGACCATAAAGGGTACGAATATGCAGAATGTAAATGTATTGACTATATAGAAGTCATAGAATAATGCAACAGAGAGACGAAGGGACAGAGCTACTAGGGAAGCTTGCTAGGATTTTATCCATACTCAAAGCTATCGCTTAGACTTGGACAAAAAAACACCGAACCCCCCGAGATTGAAGAAACACAACTAATGTATCCCCTTGACTACACATGTATTGATCTATAATTATCATACGCATCATGCCTGAAATCCTTCCAGGGTAGCTTCCGCCACCGCGCGCCAGTGGGCCACGCGACCCTGTGAGACCTTGACGATAGCTTGAATGTGATTGACTGCCGTCTGCATCATGTCCCGCTTTGCATTCAGCCGAGTCCGCTCCAAAATATTCTCTGGGCCCTTTTCGTGGCAGGTTTGCTCGAACAATCGCTCCATGCGGGTCAGCACCACTTCATGTTCCATGGAAATGCTCGCGGGGGGTTCCACTTCGGGCCAGGGACCACTGAAATCCTAGTATAGGACCGTACTGATTGGACACCCTGGGTGGTCTGGGTCGCACATGGTGTGAGCAAAATGCAGGTCTTTGTGTGCCATGATATATGCGACACGGTTGAGCTCTGTCTGGTTATCCTGACGCCGTAGTTGCGCAACGAACTCACGGATCCGAGGGATCAAGTCGCGGTAGGGCACCTGAGAGGGATGGGCCTCGATCGCGTGGACATACCACTCGAGGCAGCCGTTCGTATCGGCAGTGTAGCTAGCGAATCCCCCGGCTGGCATGGGGTTGAGACTTTTGACCGTCTCCGTATTCTTGACTCCGGCCGAGGAAGACCAGTGCTTGTCCAGCTCTGGCATCTGCTTTCGTCGATAGGCGGTCTAAAGGCAATCTCCTCCGTCGGTGTCAGGGCTAGCGCGCCCACGTACCCATCGCGCTAGGGTTGTGCATGCAGCTCGATCGGATAGTTCGTCAGTTGGTGGGCCATCTGCGTGTTGAGCTCACCGGATAGCGTTGCGTAGATCTAATCGACGCTGATGCCGGGCGCTTTCTCGGGTGGTGTGAACTAAAGTCCGATCGCATTATTCTCTGTGGCATTATACCGGATGATGGCCGGTACCAGAATGGAGGTATGCTTGCCGATGTAGGTAATGACGCCCACTTCGTTGCATGTGATGCCAGGTAGCTGCCGCCGGAATAGCTTTAGCAGTGTCGAGGTAGACTAGGTAGAGGAGAAGGGAGGGGGTGGGATAGACTGGAAGGAATCATAGAGAATTCTAGAATAGCTTCAGCAGGGACGAGGGTAGAGACAATGGGAAAAGATGAAAACACTTTGTATTGGTAATCTATAATTTGTATTTGGTTATAATATCGGTAGGGTGTTCTAAGCGCCCATGTGAAACTAATTGATAAAGACCGAATATTCCTACTTCCTCTCGTCTTATAACTCGACCATCACACGACCCCATCTACACGATTACTCTCCCTCTGAGTATCTCGTTCTATTCTGCGACTCACCCGTCTGCAACAATGGCTGCTGGCCTTCTCAAACCTCTGGCAGTATTTTGCAGTCAGTCTCAGTCTCAACGATACATCAAAACTGCCAGGAATATTGGCGACGCATGGCGTAGCCTTGCTGAAAAGCCTCTTTCGAAGTCCGAAGAAGATTCTGTTCTGGTGGAAACCAATTTTGACTTTGTTTTGAAAATCACGAATATACTGGAAGAGCGACAGTCAGAACCAACCATTGTCGAAATGTCAACTCATGAGCCATCTACATCTCTGTCAACCGCTGCACCTACATCAGCAGAAGATCCGCGGCACTATCGAATCTTTGCTGATTATGGCACCAATTTCATCTGGCGAGATTTCGATGACCTTAGGCCTGGGGAAGGGGACTGCATGTTAGAGGCCGAAGAGGTACTCTCGACACTCCCTTCATCGGTCTTAGAATTATACAATACGTGGGTAGACACGTACACCGATAACTTCACTGAAAGACGCGATAAAACTCAGAACTACTATGCTGATGCTTTTCTAACCGCCTCCGAGGAGGTGGCTTGGAACGTGGCGGGGTTTTTGTTGGCTTGGCGTATCACATTAGCGCCCCAGGTTGCGAGTATTGAATATAGCCCCGGTTCTTCGAAGTACCTATTGAAGAAAGGGAAGGAAACGAGTGTAACTTTGCAATTCCTACAGGACCAGGTTGATATTTTGGCCAAAGGAAAGCCTGTAGCATAGAGAATTCACTATCTACTTGACTCGTTTACTCTGATACAGCGCTTATATCGAGAAACGACATCATCAATATACTTGGCATTTTCATGTGAGAAACTGAAAAAGTGGCTGAACAAAATAACTGATGGAGTTTATATGAAATGGATCGGCATAGCTCATCGAATTTGCTTAGTGGAATGAAACAAATAAACTGCGACATGTAATTCAGGTAACCATGTAATCAGACGCCCCTCGCAGAAAGAACGTCTTTCAACTTCTGTTGAAACTTCGGTACACGTTCAGGGGAGATCATCGTATAATGCTGTCCATCCACCTCATGGAACTTGAGATCATTGCTAACAAACTCCTCCCAACGATTCAGTTGTTTGTAGCGATACTCTTCCCTCGATGCAGCCACACCTCGTAACGGATCACAGAAGAAAACATCCATACAAGAAACTGTACCGGATGGATCGTAGTTACGACCTATATTTGCAAGGGAGAAGGTTACTTCAGTCCAGGTATCCAGCGAGGTAAGTGTTATTCCCAACTCAGCCCTACGAACTGGGTTTGCTTCGGCAAACACTCGTGCCAGCTGCTCTGACTTAGGCAAAGTGCGAATTTCAGGTGCCAATTCATCAGCACGGTCTTCCGAAAAGAGGTCACAGAAAAAGGCGACGTGTAAAAGACACCCTGTCCAGTCTAGTCGACCCATGACATGCCTGATATATGGTGGTAGGTCAAAGCTGCCTATGAACTTCACTTCGTCGCCGACTGATTCAAGCTTCTTTGCGAGTTCGAAGGCTACCATGCCACCATATGAATATCCTGCTAAGGCGTAGGGTCCATTAGGCTGTTTTTCCTTCAGGGCTTTGTAGTATGTGGCATGGAGGTTGGCGAGGTCCTGGAAGGTCTCCTCGCCCGGGTTGAAGCCGCGGGGTCGCATTGCGTAGACGGGCCTGTCTGGGAAATGCTGAGCTAACGCGAGGAAAACTAGAATCTCCCCGACTCCCGGGTGGAACAGCCACAAAGGCGTCTTGGATCCGTGTGGTTGTAGTGTGACAACAGGTTGATACACGGTAGTGAGATCTGAGGTCTCGAGCTTCTGGATAGCTGCTGCCAGGGTTCGAATGGTTGTGTTGGTCATGATGGTGATCATGGGAATATCTTCAATACAGAGATCCTCCTCAACAGCTCTCTTCAATCGAATCAAATCCACTGAACTGATTCCAGTGTCCAGAATCGGCATATCGATACTAATGTCCTTGTCGAGTCCGAGCGTCTCCTTGAAAACCGCCACAAGATTGTGCTCAATCTCATTGCTAGGACCGGAGAAGTGCGCCTCTCGATATTCTTGTAGTACCCGATCGTTGAAGATTCCCTGGTCCCTGTATTTCCCCTCTGCCAACGCGTTTTGAATTTTCGGTCGCGACAACTTTCCTAGGGTTGTCTTCTCCAGGACACCAGGCGGCAGGGGCAGGACTCGTGGCCGTGCAGATGTAAACAGAATGACAGTGCGCATCAGCGCGTGAAGTGTTGACATGCGGGCCTCGATATCATCGCTTGCAAAATCGTGTTGATATACGACGTAGATTTCCTCGGGGCTGATGCTGGTTTCCTTGTAGGAAAAGCACGCAACAAACGAAGGGGTCACTCCTGGTATACGTGCTTGTTCAATAGCACTTTCAATTTCATAAGGTAGGAATTTGACCGAGTTAATGTTGATTAACTCTTTGAGTCGACCAGCCAGCTTTAGCTGGCCCTGGGCATCGATTATACCAAGATCTCCGGTCCGGAACCAGCCATCCTCCGTGAAGGCAGTCTTGGTGGCCTCGTCATTGTTGAAGTATCTTGAGAACACGACAGGTCCACGTACTTCCAGTACACCGGCGTGATTGGCAGCTCCACCGCCCACACCATTGGACTGGGGCGCAGGGCTCGGCTCGTTTGCATCAATGGGCGATATTCGTATCTCGATGCCTGGAATGCTGGATCCAAGAGCGCCAGCTTCGCGTTGCGCCTTGATATCGATATCAGGGAAATTGCGATTGTAAACGCCCCCCGCACAGATTTCGGTCATACCAAAACCCGGGGTGATGAGGTTTGATGGTGAAACCCCCAGGCTTTGTAGGTGCCTTGTAACGCGCGAACCAGTATCGACATTGTTGGGCTCTCCACCCGAAATCAAATAGAGTAGTGGGCTGAGATCAAATTCTTGCTTAGCCTCTTTGGACGCCGTATCCAATGTCACTAGAAGCTTGCGCAAAAAAAAGTCCGGGGCGAAGGTCATGCAGACTTCGTGTTTGGTCAGCAACCGCAGAAATAGCAGTGGATTGCTAAGTACATCGGGCGCCTGAATCTGGATCTGATCGACACCCGCGTACATAGCAAGAAGGTGTGTTTCCGTCAGGCTGGCAACGTGATCTAGTCCAATCCAATTGAGCACGGAACTGCCATTGGTAACTGGCATCACCGCCAATTTTCCACGAATCGAGGTAAATATTTGCTGATGTGTCAGGCACACTGCCTTGCAATTTCCAGAGCTTCCAGATGTGAGCATGAGAACAGCTACATCGCTGTTGGCATGATCCTCTCCATCTCCATTGATGTGGCTGTATGTGGCAATATCCGTGGTTGATTCTTTGAACCCGGAATCTTCAAATTCCTCCACTGCTACAGTACGTAGAATTTTATTCTCTGCGAATGAATCTGCGAGTAAATTCTGACGACTGAGCAGCAAAGGATCCTGCAACATATTGTGTAGATGCTTGAAATGGGCCTTACGGCCCTCGGTCGTGCTAACCAAAGGAGTAGATAGGGCTGGCACACTACCAGCTAGGATGGTGGCCCAAAACCATATGATATTATCCAAATGATACTGAAAATGAACCAGGATAACACCCCCTCGGCGAAATTCTGCAAGTTTTTGCAGCCATGATGCTCTTTGCAATGCTTGTTTGCGTAGTTCGGCATAGCTGATCTTTACCGGGTCAGCCCGGTCTCCTTCCGAATACGCAATTATTCCCACGGATAAGGCAGCCACTTGATCCAGAAGAGATCTGATATCGAATTTCAAGATAGCCATGTTTGTCCTTTACTTTGAAACGAAAATGCAAGAGTGGAAATTGACAAAAAAGACTAAAGGTCCTTCCATTTATGTTCATGGGAACGGACTATACTATCATGCAGCTATCGTCACATATTCTTAGCGTCGGATTTTATACTATGATTGGATATCAATGTCGTTTCCAATTTACTCCTTGTCCCTGTATAACAATGTTCAATTGGTTGAAGTTTCATTTATTACGCCTTTTGGGGGCCAAATCCAGTGTAAGAAACTATGGGGCCAACACAGACACTTCAAGCAAAGTTGAAAGTTGGTTACATCGCTTGTACGCATCATGCACATCTTTGCCACCCCTGCGGAGGCCACGCACCCATTTACCCTGTCGGCTAAGACAATGATAAAGTCTAAAAGCAAGCATTCTTGTCTCCTATACAAAAGAGGCCATTCATTCCTATCAGTGATTCTCACCTCCTTCCCCAACCATGGCCACCGGTGAGGAGATCGACCGCATCGCCGTTGTTGCCTCTGCGGTAACATGGCCGTTCGCATGTATCAGCACTATACTATTCTTCATGCGCATATTTGCACAGTCACGACATACGACTCAAAATTCTTACTGGGAGGACATCATGTTAACCCTTTCTTGGGGTTTTGCTATAGTGCAAGCTTCTGTTTTTCAGGTAGCACTGAATGCCGCGAAGGATCTCGACGCCACCAATTTACCGGTCACCGTTCCCAAGGCTGCTTTCTGGGCAATCATGTCGAACAATTGGTCATTTCTAAGCATAGAGCTTCCGAAAGTCTGCATCGCTATTCTACTTGTTCGACTATTTCGCCCGGCACTCTGGCTCCGAATTGTCATCTGGGGTCTTTGCGTGACAATTAACGTACTGGCAGTTGTCGGCTTCATAATAACCTGGGTGATGTGTAACCCGGTGGCGGCACAATGGAATCCCTACAAATATCCCACGGCCAAGTGTTGGCCTCGCTCGATCCAGATCACCTACGCCTGCGTACTATGCGGTATCTCCTCGTTCATCAATATCGCCTTCTCCGTATACCCAGCCATTGTGGTTTGGAAGCTGCAAATGGCCCGCTGGAAGAAAATCAGTACAATTGGACTTATGAGCTTGGGGCTGGTGTAAGCAAGACCATCTCCCTTACTTGCAACTCAACTAATTGGACCAGGGCTTTCGCCTTTTCTGTGGTCAAACTTTATTTTATGACATTTTTGCTTGACGGCCCACAACCTTTGGACCTCATCTGTAAGCGTCTCTTCTAGCCAATACTTACCAGCCCTAAGACTAATCTCGGCAGACCTCTGTGCGCAACTCGGCATTTGGAATCGTATCGAGAATGATTTTGTTCTGATGGTCGGCCTTTTGCCTTTCGTGCCTGCATTCTTCCAGGCCTGTACGAACCGAAACAAAACGCATACCTCCTCGAACGGCTCACACTTCAAGGGTGATCACTATTTTTCTATAAATTCCAAAAAACAGCGCAAAGACGGCGAGGACGAGCTTGAAGTTGAACTGGCCTCGCTTGCGCGTCTCAAAGGGGCTGCCTCATCCTCTCTCAGTGTTGACAGGAGTAACGAAGGAAAGCTAGCTAAGCCTGCGAGTTTCTCCTAATCCTCAAGTTTCTTTGCTTTTTCTTATTTCTTTGAACAGCCACGTTAGAGTAAATGTAAATATTCTATACTGTAACCAATACCATTTGTTTTTTTGGTACTTTGGTCATCGCTGAAAGTAGTAACTCTTATTTCTCCTATCACGACAAGGAACTTCAAGCCGAGGAAGATCACGGCCTTTGCGCATTATAATCCCTGTTGAACAATGACCCATATTCCAAACGGAGGTAACCCCCCGTCATTTTATCACGTTTTATCACGGTGCAGGTGGCGTTACAATAGCGCGTTTTCAATTGACAGGGGTCGGGGGCCAACAACCAAGAGAGGGGTTGCATCCGTTGCATTCATTCTGAGACATTGGCATGGATCTATAAGCAAGCCAAGTACAACATACTTCGTTGCACGTGTTCTCCCTTAAGAAGTGGTTTCTTTTGACTCCCAACACTTCAATCATATACTTCATTGCCCTCAATGGATCGTGGAAACCTCACCAGTCGTGGCAACGAAATTGCTGAGATTGTCCGTACTCTAGCAGACGATCTATCTTCGCAGGGAATCCCGGAACCTACTTTCGAACATGGATTACCCGCCGTGCTGCAGACTGATGCGCCAGATTCAAATGCTCTAGCTGCACGCATCAAGCTTCTGGGCTTACTAGATGAGCTGCGTGATCTCTTGACCGATCCAGCACTCTTGGGTAGCCCTGAATTGGTGAGTAAACAAAATTTACTCCTTTCACACTAACTAACCTCTTTAGCGTAACCCTTCTTTGAGTATATTGGCATTGGTTCGCCTGAAGATCTTTGAGAAATTCCCAAGTGAGGGAACCACCATCAAAGATCTAGCCCAGCGCGTTAGCCGCAATGAGAATATTGTTCGCCGATTGATGTCTCATGCCGCCACCTATCATGTCTTCTACCAAGAACAGCCTGATTTCTTCATCCACACAGCTGGTTCCCGTATTCTATCAGAGAACGAGGGCATGCGTACTTGGATGCTGGTCGGACTTGGCGAGACCATGCCCGGTGCCCTTAAAGTATGTGCCAACAACCAAGTTCCTATTCATACGCTAATTATTCCAGATTGCCGAAGCCGTATCGCAGAACAATGACTCCGAAGAGCCCCAACATAGCGTAATCATTCCCCACGACCATCTAAAATGCAACTTTGCTAATAACAAACAGGGATGGAGTCTACAAAATGGCACTGATCTCCCAGTCTTCCAAGCCCTCGCCAATATGCCCGAACGTGCGCAGATCTTTGCTAAAGCCATGAGTTGGCTCGCTCAGCTACCAGGCTACTCCCCACAGTACCTAGTCGATCACTTCCCGTTTGGATCAGGAGATATCACGGTGGTCGATGTGGGCGGCGGCATTGGCCATATCGCCCGTGCACTTACGGATCACTGCCCCACAATTCAGTGCATTGTGCAAGATCGTCCTGAAGTTATTTTCCAGGGTGAACAAGCTTTGCCGGCTAACCTCCAGGATCGAATTCGCTTCCAAAAACATGACTTTTTCCAACCCCAGCCGGTGCATGGTGCTGATGTTTATTTATTGCGTCACATCTTGCACGACTGGTCAAACAAATACGCCCGCATGATCCTACAGGCTTTGATACCAGCTCTGAAACCAGGGGCTAAGATTGTACTAAATGATCGCATCATTCCTGGATATGGAGAGGTGCATTACTTGAAAGAGCGTGAGGCACGGTACGACTTTTATCCTCATTGGGGTTATGGGACTATATACTAATGAAATAACCAGGGACTACGATATGTACATGCTTGCTTTGCAGAATGCCCAGGAGCGCACACCAGATGATTGGAAAAATCTTTTCAGAGACGCAGACCCGCGATTTAAAGTAACGAGAACATCCCAGCCATCAAAATCATACCTCTCTATTATGGAGGTGACATGGGAGGGTTGATCTGCAAATTCAAGATAACAGTGTCATTGGAGAACACATCAAGTCCAAAATTCCAATCAATTAAACAAAAACCAAAATTAAATCTATTGTAACCTTAGACCCGGAATTAATTTGTCTTCATACGTGTATGTAGTGATATTTAACACGGCCAGGACAGCCACAAGTGGCCCTTAAACCCCTTTAGGCGGGACGGCCCGGCGGCCACAGCCCCCTATATAGTAATACCACTGCAACTCAGAATAACCCCACGGAACTCGCCCGCTCGTAAAGCCGCATATATCTTTCCAATATTCGACCCGATTGATTCTTTCACAATCTTTTCGCCGGAGTCATAGGCGGGATGATCCACCAAACCCCGATGCAAGGGGACCCCAAGAGTCTGACGCACGAACCCATAGAGTTTCCGTGATGAATTACAAAGATACGGTGCAGCCGATTTGCTCTGGAAGAAGAGTTTTCGGTTGGCTCCGTACTTTGTCTCTAAGATACCGGCAACGGTACTCTTCCACTGCCGAAGTTCTTTCCCAGCGACCTGGTCACCCAGAATGTCGATGACAACGCCCAAGGAATCATTGGCGGTAACTTCGCTCCGTTTGTGAAGATCGCTAGTGTTGTTTCGCTCCCAGTGGCTCATGAGTTCTTTCCAGATGTTTTCTTGGCTGTATGAGAGTTGGACATCTGCACCGCTGGACTGAAACAGCTGTGCATTTGCATTATCTACATCCTTGCGAGCTTGAGACACAAACTCAAGATGCATAGCACGAAGATCCAAGGCTTGACACAGAACGTACAGGTATGTCGCAGACATTAACGCCAGAATTTCGACAGTGTCGCCTGCATAACGAGCAGCAATCAAAGCCAGAGAGTTCAGGCTTTGGTTGTGCATCTCTGCGGACTGGACATGGTTGCTAACCGGGTGGTTTAGGTATGCCAATTCAGACATATATGAAGCCATGTTGATATCAACACCTTTGAAAGCGAACGAGAGACTCGGATCGTCAGTGCTGAGATTTGGTGGTAGTCCTCTATTAAGCATCGGGTTGAGAATCTCCGAGCATTGCGAGAAGATCATTTTCCCTAGCATCTGCATCACGCCCATAGTTTTCTCCATTGCCGATGTTATCGATACAGCTTGAAAGTTTCCTCCATGGTGAACCCGCTCCTCGGTAAGATCCAGAAGTGGGTTGTCCGTGGTAGAATTCAGTTCCGTCTGGACTTGTTCAAGTGCGAGTGCGAGGTTCTCTAGCTGAGGACCGATCCACTGCGTCGATGTGCGTAGCGCATACCGGTCTTGCGCCAGGCCTTCCCCATCAGGATCTGCCCCACGCACCAGCTTAGAACCAGCTAAGCATTCGAAAATAAACGCAGCAGACTCTAGCTGGCCTGGATGGGGTCGAGCCTCGGCGATGAACGGATGATAGTTGTATCGCGATCCCAGCAAAGCCTCAGTCCCCATTGCGGTAAGCAAGTTCGCCAAAACGACAAGCTGGTTTGCCTCGAATAGAACTAGAGTAGCTGCACCGCAACTAAACGCAGTTCCGTTCAAAAGACCCAGACCTTCCTTTGGCCCAAATTCAAGCGGTGCCAACCCTACTTCCTGGAGAGCCTGGTTGGCCGGGATGATTCGATGGTTCTGACCCTCCCCGCAATTAATCGCTATATCAGGATTCCCTTCAATTGCCGCGGCGATGTACGCCAAAGGTGTGAGGTCCCCACAAGCGGAGATACTTCCTCGCAGCGGTACCACTGGTGTCATATCGTATGCGAGGAGGGTAAGGATATTTCGAACGACCTGGAATCGAACGGCGGAATGTGCTCGCAGTAAGGAATTGCATCGAATTAACATAGCCGCCTTAACAATGGGAATAGGCATCGCATGACTTTTCAAACTTTGCAGACGTGTGGAGCCTGCTCCAGATCTCCGGTCTCCAGGTAGAACCACGGCTGAATTGTGGTGCTGGATCAATGCCTGTTGGAGGGCGGCATAATCGTTTGTGCGAGTATCAGCGCTTCCTCCAAATCCAGTAGTCACTCCATATACCACTTCGCCCCTTTCAAGCTTTTCCGCGAGTAGATCTACACTGCGTTCTAATCGAGATAGCACGGTTTCGCTGTCGGTGATATCGGCCGCAATCTTATGTCTTGATTTGCTTGTTAGTGTGTATCTCAGATAATGTCATAAGAAGACGGAGTGAGGAATTCACATACAAGCTAATTGCAACGACTGAGCTCAAGTCCAGCGAATTCCCATCAAGTACGATGTTCCGGCCACGATGGACAATCTCGTCAAGCTGGGTGCATGAATTGAGAACCGAGCCGATGTACCCCAGTCCTTCAGGATGGTACCCATGATACTGCGATGCTTCACCCATGGTCGCAAAATAGTCTGGCAAACAATTTGGGGGCGTGTTCGAGCATTTTGAGGTGAATATCAACGCGACGCGACACAAACTAACCCGAACGGAATGAGGGGGCTGTAAATTAAACTGGTCTGGCAATTCGCCCCAGTAAACGTATGCATGCCCAGCCCGCGGCGTTATTCAGAAACAGGATCAATTCTCCGTAAGGAGTACGGAGTACAGCATGGTCCGACGCACGGTCCAACAACCCTTTTGGGTTGCTGGGCCGTGCGACTATGGTGCGACTATCTAAGAGCCTGCTTACAAGATTTTGGGATAACAAGGCGTGAAAAGCGTCACAATGCCAACGCAGTAAGTAATTAAATCATCCTCTGGATAATGTCATATCAGAAAGTCTATCTATTCAACAATGAAACCACTAGAAAGCTTGTAGAGTTACGAGGATGCGGTTTCAATTCGTGGTGGAGCAACTATCTATAAATCCATAGGTCCGTCTAATAGATCGCCGAGGGAGAGAAAGAAACATCGAACACATGGGGCGATAGGGAGGACTTTACTCCGTAGTGGGTACTAGTCGTAATAGTAAGATGAATAGATTACCGTCGTCAACTTTCAAAGTTTAGGTTTCTAAGTTTTCTCTAATTTACTATTAGGACACTCGTGTATTTTATGACCTAATAGCACTATATTAAAACATACATTATGGTTACGAATGTCTTCGAATAATATATATGACTTTTACTAGAACTCTATCTATATTCATGGGAGCCACCGGGGCACGAAGTATGAACGCGTCGCAAGTCTAAAAAGTGGACGTATGCGTGTCATAGTAATATATGTCATACCACGGAGTATGATGATCAATCACTCTCCCACAATTCTTCCCTGTATACACACATTTACAAGATATCAGTTGAATATATTGTGAATGCTCACCAAGACCCGACATGCAAGATATACTGTAGGCTGAATCTAGGCCTACTATTTGCTGCCACAAATGGGAGGCCCCACCTTAGCCCGGCCGGGCCGACCATCCCGAGGTCCGTTCCATGGAAATATATGGCTGACTAAGAAATCCAGATCTTGTGAAAATAACATTGGAACAGCATCTCAGACCAAGAAAAATACCGTTTATCCAGCAATCGATCTTGCTTAAAAAATGATCACAGTCAAAAGGGCTGAAATATCTCATTATCAAAAGCTGTGAATCCGAAGCCACTATAGGAGGCTAGCCCTAATAAGACAACATTTATGTATTTTTGGTGTGAGGGATGGCTTCTAAGTTTTGCAGAGATATATGATTCAATGTCAATGATACAATCATGATCGACACATTGTAGTAGCTGTGGACACACCCTACACTTAACATCCTGTATCAACCCCAAGTGCAATTTGAAAACGACTTCATCTTAATGGGGAAAAAACGTGTGTATTCTTATCGCTCCCGTGGGCGTCGATGTGCGTCTTGTGGAACTCCACTTCCAGGGATACAAAACGGTAGGTTCTGCCCAGTTGCAACTTATCAGATCGTATATCACTGATTAATGCCAGTTCGAGAACTCATCGAAGAATGTGAGGATAAAGAAAGATACGAACGGTTCGGGGGTTGGGACGGCCGCTTTTCCGAATCATGCGCGTTTCATAAAGGCTGCTGGAAATTGTTGATAAAACATTTCGACGGAGTCGTGCCTCTCGACAAATTGTCCAAAGTAGTCAAAGAAGCCCCTGGGCCCCAATATCGTACCTGTAAGTCATTTTCTCCCTCCTACCAGACTTTCGCATCCACGAGCAATTTCAAATACTGGCAACCTTTAGATCATGTAATCCCAGAAACCGGGGCTCCTAGCTCGAGATGCCTTCGATATATCGGGCTTCGAGCCGAAGCAAAGACCTTCCCAAAGGCAGAAAACATGGGATATAAACCTCGTCTGAAAAAAGGCGTCCAAGTGAATGACTGTTTTCGTCCCCTTCCACTCGAACTCCGCTTCGAAATCGCCTATCTTCTTCCAACATCTGAATACCTCAACTTGAGACTTACGTCAAGAGCTATGGTTTACATATTTGAATATCAGGATTTTTGGAAAACACGGTTTTTGATTCATCGAGAGCGGGGATATCTCAACTATCTCTTGGAAGAGGGTTGTAAAGATTGGAGATTAATGTACCGCTGCACTGGCAGACTGATGCGTCTAACCGGGACACTACGTCATCGAAGACTACAGTGGCTTCATAACGAGTGGATTAAAGATAGGTGTATGATGGTTGGAGCTCCAATACCTAAATCGCCTGGGAATATTCGATTTTATGATCTAGGGTGGGACCAGGCCGTTGGAAAAGTGCAATGCGATAGACCTCATAACAACGACACCACTCCTCTTGACAATGGCAAGTGCAAGTGGTGTCGTGGAGTGCATAAACTATTGCCACAGAGAATAACCATCTCCAGTGGGCTTGTGGAAATCGCTGTCTCCGTTCTTGCTGAAGATGAACATTCATTTATCACCGGTTTCAAGCTTGTCTACGGTGGAAAGTCACCAAGCGTTAATTTCGGCTATCAAATCCCTCAAAAGCAGATCAAGATTGATCTTCGCAGTCAACAATTGGCTGGCTTCGAAGTTTTCGCTGGACAAGGTGGAATCCAGGCCATACGTCCAATATTTGATCAAAAATATGGAATATGTCATAGTATCATTGGTAAGCCGAATGAAACTTGCAAATCTGTACTACTTGCTCCAGAGGGAGTGATAAAAGCCTTTTCTGGGAATTTTGATGTAAGTCAAATATATGCTATCCCAATTCACAGTTACTGACTCAATTATAGCATTGCAGAATGGTAAGATTTGGAGTAGGTTCATTGCGTCCTGGATCGTGTGTTGTGATATAACCCCGTTTGCTATGGTTGCTAGTCCAGACTTGAGATCTTTATTTGCTTCGTCATTTTGTTTGCTAGCGTTGTAAGGGTATAAATACCCTGTCCTTTCATAGATTCTACAATACAGATCTATCCTCCTTCATCACCTCTCTCTTTGTTTCCTCAAAATATCCCGGTTCAGACATCTCTAACGTCTGCGAGGCGCGAGTGATTAGACGTCATGCCGTTAATATTCAAATTGAATATGCCACAAACGGGCAGCCTCCTGAGGTCCAGATGCTGTGGAGCCTCCGTCAATGGCTCGAGGGTTTGACTCTATTCACCTTACTGAGCATCTCGTCTCCTTGTGGATGTCATAGGTGTTCGTGGAGCTCATACCCACCTCTTATCGTAAATTACAGGATTTCGTAATGATGGAATTGAGTCAGCACCGAAACAACTGATCAGCCACAGCCCTGGAGCGGCATCCTCGTGAATTAGTATCCACACAACTACAAGGTGGTTTCATTCCATGCGCTAATTCTACTAGGGGCAGACGGAGATCAACTCTAGAATTCCATTGAAGGCTAATAGAGTCTAAAAAAGGTTCTGGTCAAGTTCAACTCACTTCTCTTGAAACTTGATATAGTTTCATTGGCCTTTATAGACATCGAGATAGATCTATGTAGACTATTATTTGTTATGGCATGGAAGTCATGCAACCACCCACTGTACTTGTCATTAGGACTTAGGAGGCAAGTAATTATACTACCCCACAACATCACGCATAATAGTGGTGTTTCCATCACGACTTACACCATATCGGGTAGTTATTGCATAGAGGTCCAGAATATAGCTTTGCGACAATAATTATAGTTTTATATATGTTTTATGACAATATGGCCGCTAAATGTGCTCTGTAGTGCGTTAAAATACGTATGGCCAAGAGAAAATATGACAGTGGGGCTTGGCAAGCTCACCTACACAGGTTCCTTTGAACTTCAATGTTGACACCGTTACCTAGTTATTTCCAACATGAATTTCTTCTCGCGCGCCCGGACTAATATCTTATCCTGGATACATGAAACACCACTTCCATCTTTAGATCAAGCATATCTCAAGTTTCAGTCATGGCACCATTTTGACCCTGTCCACCAGTGGAGTCCTACTCGCTCAAACAACACAAACGAACCCGCAAAGTCGACAAAGGAAGGGGATCCATCGGATCTAGTGCTTTTAACATGGAACATTGATGCAACATCTCCCCGAACCCAAGAACGTGTTACAGAAATTGTAACATTCATTACAGGGCTGGATCCGAAGGTCCATGTTGTTTTCCTCCAGGATGTCTCCAGGCCAGCTTTACAGCAAATCTTAAACGACGACCGCATTCGCGGGTCCTGGTTTTCGAGCGAACGGGATGATACTTCATGGCGGAAACAGTCCTTTGCAACGATGATCCTGGTATCCAAGGCACGTTTTGCGTTAGATTCTGACTCGGGGATGACCAATGCCACCCTAGGTCCTATTTGGCGAGTAAAGTATCCTAGCCACTTTGATAGGGATGCACTATGCTGCGATATCTTTGCTATCTCACCTAAAGAACCTAGGCCTTCTTCTACTACAAGAATACGGCTTGTCAATGTGCATCTGGATTCTCTACCAATGAACCCATCCCATCGACCCCGACAAATTTCTATTGTCTCTGCCTTTCTCCGCACCGCGGGCCGTGGGCTAGTAGCTGGCGACTTCAACCCAGTTCTCAAGGATGACGCCACTCTTATTGAAGACAGTGGCCTGATGGATGTTTGGACTTCCCTACATTCCGACGATCCTGGTTATACATGGGGAGTGGGTGGGGAGCAACCGTTCCCGCCAAATCGGCTTGATAAAGTTGCTGTTCTAGGGCTTAGTCCTTACAGTATCAAAACCTTGAAACCAAAACGGCTCGGCAACTTGGATGAGACCAAATCTCAGCAAACTGAACGCACAGAAGAAATACCCTGGAGTGATCATTATGCTTTGCTTTGCTCTGTCGGACTATTTGAAACGTAAACAAAATCTTCTGTGTCGAATTTAGCTACCGAAAGTCGAGTCGTGGAAGGATCTTGGGTCTTAGTCTAAGCGCACACGGGGTAGCCCAGGTCAACTACTATATACATAATACATAATGAGACCCGATATAGATTCGTAACCACCGACAAAGAGCTTATTCTGATTCAGCGACTTGACGGCGATGGAATATGGCGAGAACCAATTGACCATGTTGCTTGCGTTGTGTTACTTGGGAATGCTAGCATGGAGTGGAGACCTGGAGATCGGGATACGTGGAAGGGGAAAAGGATTTACGTTCTGTACAGAGGGTTCTGCATTGGAAAGGGAGAGTTGTAGTATAGTATACACCTGATGGTGACAGACGTACTATAATTGATGACGGTCGTAGCCTGCTGAGTGCAGGAAGCAGACAGTATCGATAAAGAGGACTACGACGAGAGTATAATAGTCGATTACAAACTGGACGTACAGCGTGGCCTGCTTGTGATGGATCCAGAGCTGATGCTTGTCATGCGTCATAGCAACCATCTCCCAAGTTTGACTTGCAAAACGTTCATTCAGACCTTCTTCGTCCCACTCCTCCCCTTTCTCCGTGTCTTCACTCCCCATCATCTTCTCGCGCCTGCTTTATCTTGCACTCGCATCGGCTGACTCTACTCTTGTGTTCTTTCCTCTTCTCCTGTCTATATTGCCACAATGGCGACACTTATCCTTGAAAATCCAAGCGACCCCAATGACAACGTCCGGATTTATGACAACGATGGAGCCCTGCTGGTAGGTAAGCAAAGCTCATTGTGCAAACGAGACTAGAGAATGAGAGAACGCCAGCCATTAATGTTACATTGACAGCCTTCCAGGTCAGCCCAGACTCAAGCGACAGATACCATACTTCCGAGATGGTGTATCGCTACTGCAGCATGATATTCATCTTTGAGAGCGAGTCAGAATGGTCGATCTTTTACCTGCATGCGAATGGAGATCATGGCAACGCGCTCCGTGTTGAAGCTCGAGTCCCCATTTCACCGGGGAACTATATTGTCCTTGATAAAGGTGGGTAAGCGTTGGAACGTTGGTGAATGCTGGCATTTCCGATGGCAGCTGCGTCAGGCTGGCTGACAGTCGCCAACGGCGCATGTGGAGTCGTCCCCCCTACTCTGTGCACTCATTTTCTATCAGTTTCTAAAAATGTATAGGAGGGCAACCAATCACCGTTCAGCTCACCACTGAGATTCCCCCACGCCGTGTTCGCACTCGAGACTACAGCACTCGATCGGCAGGACAGAACGAAAGAGACCAACTGGTATGTTGGCTTGGAAATAGCGAGAAAGGGATACGTATTTCTTGTGGCTAATCGTTTCTACAGCAGAAACGGTTCCGAGATGGCCTTCGGACAAGAGACACGCATTGTGTAATTTCTGGGCCCCCATTGATCCCCAATGCAGAGACACCATTTCAGACGATGGAAGCCAGCCACATTTTTCCTACAAGCCTGATCCAGGAGTGGAACAGAAATAGTTACAAAAGCAACTGGGTTACCGACGACAGCCCTTCAAGTGACATCGGAGAGAGCGGTCTCTACTCTCTGCAAAATGGCCTTCTTCTTGATAATACTGTTCATACATATTTCGATGATTTCAAACTAGGGATTGACCCAGATGTAAACTCATCTTGAAATTGTGGCATACACTTGTTTCTCTATCAAAGCTGATATTTCAAACACAGGCAGGCTACAAAATAATCATCTTCAAGGGAGACACGGCAAAACTCGGAGGGAAATGCCTCAAGGACTCTGCCAGGTATGGTACCAACCCAAGAAACCGAGTCTCTGCACATCTCCTGCGTTGGCATCTAAGGATGTGCGTGTATCGAAATTTGAAGGCCAACGCCGATGTTCAGGCCGTGTGGGAAGATGACCTTGGCAGCGATGACATGGGCCAGATCCTTGAGCAGCCAGATGCTGGACATAGGATGGAGGTAGAGCTTTTCACGCGTCTGGGAGGACAAGTGTCTTAGATAGACGCAAAACCGTGTTACCAACGGTCTGGATCAAATACAGCGCACTGGAAGCCTATCAAACTATTACAACATAGTACCTATTTGATTCTCCATTATCGTAAAGGTCATATTTTGCTGTATATCTCATCTGTTGCAATTTATCGTTCGTCAACATTTCTCGTGTATTTACACCATATTTTTGCCCCTTTAATTACCTCTTCTTTCTGTTGCCCGCAATTACCGCCCGCATTTCTATATTTCTATATGTATTCCTAATATTAATTGACCATTCATACCTCCCTCTGCCTTTATGGGTAATGGCTGTGGCTCCAACTTGTGAGGGCGGGATTCGCTCCGAAATTCATGGCAGCTTAAGTATCCATCGTACAAAGATTAATCCCAAATAATAGAACTAAACCATATGGTTCTTACTCACCTTTCATCTCATGATATTAAGTATCTTGCTAGATCGTTGGGAGTCTCCCTTCGATTGGTACATCAATGGGAGGCATACGATACGCATACACACTCTTACCTTACTCTCCCTTCATACCCATCGCACACTACGTTCTAGCTTTCAGCCTTCTAGAACACTCTTAATTCGAGATTTACTAGGGCCATATAAGCTTATAGACAAAATGAGACCGTATCTATCCACTTCCAAAGCTACACGTTATTCATGATATGGTACAATACATAGCCAGTCGCTTATCACATCTCAAATGACTGAAAAGAAGCCAGAAAAAAAGGCCTGACGGTTTATAATATTATCATGTGAGGGCCGTTTCCTAGATGCCCGTCATCGCTCATACATGCAGCATTTACCATAAGGGTAGATTGCCGTTCAGGACGTCTCCAGGCAATGGTAAGTAGACCCCGTAATCCACATAACATCACCATCGCTGCATCTAGCCATAATTTGGGTCGGAAAATACTGGCAAGTGTAATAGGCCGCCCATCCTGACTCGGTAGTTTTTGAAGGTCTGAGCAGAATTCCTCCCATCTCGACTCGCCATCATTCCAAACAACACGCTCTGTCCCATACGAAGTATGCACATGGCCAAACACATGCAGCAATGGTCGGACTTTCCACAACTCTTGAAGTAACCAGGGGCATCCTTCTGGAGACTCGTAATACCAGTCCCGGTGAAACTTAGGCGGCGTATGTGTGACCAGAATATCAGTGGACTCAGGAATCTTGCCAGCCCACGGATTATGGCTCACTGGATACTGGAAGGCATTCTCAGTATTAGGGCCACACTCCGGGGCAAATGGTGCGCCATAGATGTTAATGTATCTCGGGATAGTAGAAGAGATGCCGGAACAATCAACAGTCACAGAAGTTCCCTGGAGGTAATGTATCTCGCCCCAATCGAATGGTACGTCGACTTGATTTGGCAGGCTCTTTTTTTCTTCGCTGCCGGAAGAGAGACCAATTGTCGACATGTCCTCTGGCAATCGAGAGCGAGCATCAAAGAAACGATCGCTATTTCCAGCCACAACCACTTTATGTTTATGCGGAAGTGACTTGAGCCAATCGATGATTTCTTGAATTTCCGTTGCACTTCCGTTCTGGCTCAGATCACCTGCATGTATCAGCAGTTCGCCATATGGAATATCACACCGCTGCGAATGGGTATCAGCGAGGCAAATAACGCGGGTTTGGCGTCCTTTGGGGACACCCAAAGAGATAAGGCTCCAGCTCAGGTGCCTCAACAAGGCATGACCATTGTAGGTGATGATCTTGAGCCATGAATATGTGAATGAGTTTGAGTCCATGCTGTTTGGCCTAATGAGTAGACGCCTCGATTTAGAACGGGAAGAAGTGTTTCAGGTCAACAAAAACATTCAAGAAAACTGTACGCTAGGCAACATTCGATGACGCGGCCTATGGTTTCTTTTCCCTTGTATTGCCAGCGGAAGTTGGCGGTGGATGACTACTGCAGTATTATGGAGAACTTACAGTACTCGAAAGGAAATCACGTTTCTCTTGTTCCCATAGCGCGAGCGTGGATGAAGCCAGATCGTCAGGTCGCCCCCTCCCCTCGCCCCGTCCGAGAACCTACTGACAACGTTCAACGGAAATAAGTATAAGCCGCAATACGGCAGGGGTGTGTTGTAGAGTAACCAAATATAGTTTAGGGTGGTTCCGGATACGGAGAAACAATCCGCGTGAGTCAACAGGGGAATCTGTGTTCAAAATCTTCTATATGTTTGCACAGTGGTAGCGTAATTGGAAGCACCATCACAACAATAAGAAGCCGACGGTTTTTGGCTCAACGAGGCACTTTGGTTTCTATACTGGTGGCGAAATTCAATATATAAGCAACCTTGGAGTCTATCTGTCTCCTAGGGCCCAAAAAGAACGTATGCTAGATATTGACGGAAGGTCTGGGAGTCCGGTTTATGTAGGTGAGATTGACATGCCTATTTTAATTTGCGAGTCTGTTGCGAGATATATAAGTAGATATATATAAGTTGTAGAGGTTTAGTTGACAGTATAAAAGTTGGCTTAGTCTTGATTAATTTTCTCGGGATATGCGATATCCAGTGTAGCATTTGCCCTAATTAGTGCCAACCGAATTGTCGTCCTATAAAGCGTAGGGGCTATCTGACTTCGGGCAGGGTTACGCTATAAGAGCAGGGTATTTCAACTCTATTAGAGGTAGTATAGCTGGAAAGCTAATCAAGACGAGAAACTGAGTCCGAATATATAGCCGGTTTGATCTAAATAAATGGTGTGACTTGTCTACACGCCGCTTAGCGAAATTGACGACTTTGGACTTTATAAGAGAGGTCATATTCAGAAGATATTGTATCAGCCCATGGCAGCCAATTTGGAAAGTGAGGAGCAAAACGAGCAATCTAGCAAACTTCAATCCGCTACTTATGACAATTACCATCCCACCCTTTGCTAGGCCTCCTATCGCCCCCCAGATCCCTATGTAGCGTTATCTTAAAATCATATGGTTTGCCCCCCGCAATGTTCCAGCCATGACATTGGTACCAGTTAGAGCTTTCATCCCCAATGAAGAAGTTGGATTGAGCTTTATTAAAGAAATTCTTTAGCCAGAATTCGGTTTCGTACCTACTTAGTCTAGAGCTGATCTTTTGGAAGAGCCCTGACAAAGCTGTTTCTTTGGAAGCTTAGAAAATGAACTCATTTTCTACCTGGAAACTCTTGGAAGTTTTGTTCAACCGAGCTCGAGTTAGGATAAATACCCGTGCTAGAGGATGCTGAATAGTGCAGATGTGTGTAAACGTCCTAGATAATTTCTGATAAGACGATCGTCTTAAAGTATCCTGTTGAGATTGAAAGTACTCAATTGGATGTTGCTTTTGATGGAATGTGATACTCGAGCATAGACAAATGTCAACTTTGTCATCGTGCTAGAAGTCACACCAAGTATTACATTCGAATAGAGCGGGCTTTGGATCACATCTCCAACCAAATTTTAGAAACTGCCATCTAGAGTGCCGGTGAAGATTTTAACATCTAGAACAGTATACCCAGCGCTCGTTTTAAAGGCGACGAAGTAGTAACGTCCTAGGCAATGTTGATAGGACACATATACCACGCTGTCTATTATATGAGACATAGTAGGCATACAACCTCTTACAGCTCAGTGCAAAACAAGCTCGGTCTAGGTCGGAAAGAAGCTGGAAGATAATTTCCACTATTTCTGAGGGGATCTTCCAGAGTGTCTTGAATTTCTTAGGCTCGACTGGTTCGACTGGTTCGACCCTAGGGGGTGGATTACAGACTCGCAAAATATTGCAAAAAGGTATGTAGGTACATCGAGTTATAGTAAGCATTTATTTAACTAATATCTTGTGTAGGGAAGGTTTTGCTTATCGCTGGGGAGAGGGATTTATTTTGTATAATATATACTACTATAATATATATACTTCTATAGGTTTTATAGACCGGTAACCTGTTAATACTTCTGGGGTTAGCTCTACCGATATCTATGGATTTCTAGACTCTTAACTTATAAGTATATAAGATAATATTAGAAGCTAAGGTCGAATATATGGTGGAGATAGGGTAATTTACCTAGAAAATCATATGACAATTGGTACCTCGTTTACCATATAAAAGTGTATATTGTAGTTAGTCATCGATGTCCGTATAGATTATGAAATTGCGGGTTTTTTGTTATTTTAGTTAGAGTCTTCAATATCAGCTATTTTTACCATATATTGATCGTACCACAGATTTCTGTTAGATAACGCTAAACCATATCTGGCAAGGCAGCTCTGTACTCATACTGCGCCGCTAGGCCGGTAGAGCTGAGGAGCTTAGTTATCCGGATCAATAGCAAAAATGCCTCAATATAAGGCCTAGGGAGAAGAAAGGCGAAAAAGGGAACCTGGGCTGTTGGGCGGGAAGGGGGACTTTATAGAACCACGCACGGGAACGCACATGCATAAGGAACGCTAAACTGAAAGGGTCAAGGCTAAACCTAAGTAAGTAATTCGCAGTCCCCATCCGATATGGTGTAGTGGCTAACATCGTCGTCTCTCACACGACAGCCGGGGGTTCGATTCCCCCTATCGGAGTTAATCTTTTGCTATTTTATTTTTGCGCATATACTCTGGTTCATTACGCTCCAGCTCTATGTGGGCGAGAGACCGGATAGGAACACTCGATGGAAATACATGTCGACATCGTGTCACATCCATAGATCTTTTGGAATGTCTGAAGAGTCCGAATTGCGGCTCTCCTATCGCGATATTGAAGGTGAATCGAAGAGAAGATATACCCCATAGTTAGGGCTAATATTGTATGGCCTGAGAAGACATAACCCTGGACAGGGTGGAAATGTATCATGAGAAAATGCTGGTAAACGATATGGGCAGAAATAACAGTGCAGATTCTGGATTTATGGATGATACAGAAATAAACAAACAAAAGCTGGAAAGCTGAAAATTGAAAATAAAAGACAGAATAGGACGAAATCAAGAGGTGAAATCAACAAGATGGGGGCGGTTGAGAAGAACAAAAGATCGGATCAAACAGAGACAGCAGATAATCATTGCATCGTGAGTGGTGGGTGCAATATCTCCCATCGCCTGGGGACCTCAAAACGCCGAGCGCCAAAGATCAAGAACTCGTTCCCTTGGTCGTAGAAATCGTGCAAAGTCATTGTATCGTAGTGTGGATTATTTCGCATGGATGAGGCAAAAACGCGCATTAAGAAGGAAATAGGTGTGGTGGTCGAGCCATCATAGAGTCGTGTGCTGACCCTCAGGTCGGCCACCAATTGGAAGAGAAGTGATGTGAATTGTTTTGGTGATTGTGCTTGCAGCAGGAATACCCATTTGTAGTATCCAGAGACTCGTCCTTCGGATCCTAATCGTGTGGATTAGGGACTGGTCTCGGGGCTCGAGGCTACTCTTAGTGCCTCGAATAGGGCTTGTTGAGCAGAGCTATCTCACGCGCAACAGTGCTCCATTCAAGCTCTCGCTTGATGGGCTCCCCTCGCTTTTTCATTTGATACTCTTCCCATTGGAGGAGTTCATATCTGCGGCTGAGTGTGAGCAAATTTCGCTTGTTGGATGTGGGGTAGAACACAAGGACTTACACAAAGCGAAGGTGAGGTTGGATGATAACGTTAAGTCGCCTTGCGCGGACGAAGCAGCTATGATAGATTAACGTCGTCAGCCCAGCTAATGACTGCAATGGTGGCCAACTTACTATGCACGCGGGAAAGAGAGGTTTTTAGACGCCATGACTTCAGCAATACAAATACTTGCGGATCTTGAAACGCCGACTCGGCAATGAACCAATGTGGCTGTGCCTTGTCTCTTTCCTTTTTCTATACACAAATTAGCACATTGAAACTTGGAACAAATTTGGAGCACTTACCAATGAAGTCCAAACAACGATCGTACTCCTGACACAAAGGATCAATGCCATTGTCTTGGACATTGTCAATGTACATCAAATTATCCTCCCCCCAGTTGGCACGATCCGCGTCTGTCCAACTGATAGGCTCTCCAATACTAAGCACACGCTTGATCCCAAGCTCCCACAGAAGCTCCGGGTTGTTCGCATGAGTCAGATTGCCCAGATACAGATACGGCAGGATACGGCTGGGGAAGGAGCCATCCATGTTGTGGAACCAAGTCGGATCCCATATCTCCGAGAGGTCCGCCGACTGAGTCGCAGGACTTTCCTGCAAGAGACGTCCTTGAATATGGCGTAGGAAAGCGACATCTGTCGCATAGGCAAAGAAGTTGCGTTTCTTGTCACAATGTAGTCGGAGCCAAGCTTCATGAGCAGGTACGCCTTCTGCGAACATAAAGTACGCCACTGCCAACAGCGAGCTTTCGGTATAACCGTCCGCACAGTGGATAAGAATCTTGCGGGGTTTCCCGCTCGATTTGGTCATTGCGATGTCTCCATCAGATTCGAGCTCTTCCGATGAAGTGTCTGGATGTGCGAGATAGTAGATCCACCTGATGGTGTTGACAATGTCCTCAACCTCTCGGGTGTTCCCCGATGGAAGCATAAGGGATCCCGATGAGGGGAACTCCAAGCATTGTTGGCCACTCTCTAGCTGTTTGTCGAGCATAGCGAGGAACCGCGGGCCAGGGATGTTGGCCATATCGCATGCTTCGATCAACAGGTCATAACCCTCTGCCTTTTGTGACTCAAGAGCTCCAGCCGTATGGAAGTAGTCCGGGGTAGGCCCGAGCCAAACATTGGACGAAATCTCGGATGCCCGGGACATTGTTGTCATTTCCAATCTCTCCCATTGGACTACCAATAT